TTGCTGATAAATTTTCAGATACATCCGTTCCACATCGTAGTGCAGTTCGTAACCTTGATGGTAAATTTCGCCAAACAGGATCAGTGGATCAATGCCAAACGTTGTAGAAGGCCAACAAAGTTATAAAAGGAGAAACTGCTGGTTGGTTGATTTTGTCTAGTGGCATATCAACTTTTATGGGTCATTTAATGCCGAAATCTAAATATTTTGAACACGATTTTATGGTTTCAACTAAATATATTTTGAACGCAATTGCATTCAGTTACAGATGAAATCTATTGTTAGTCATTCTATTATAAATATGTATAGTTGCTTCGTTTGCTTTAAAAATATATTGCTGGTAATTTTTTTCTAAATAGGTATTGTTGGTAAATTTGCTATAAAAAGTATTGTTATATTTTCATAGTAATTTGTTTTTGTTTGGTTGTTTACTATTTCCTCATAACTGGGAGCCTAACAGGCGCTACCATCATAGGTTAGCGTGGACCTGGAAACAGGGGCTACCATCACAGGTTAGCGTGGACCTGGGAACATGCGCTACCATCATAGGTTAACGTGGACCTGGGAACAGGCGCTACCATCATAGGTTAGCGTGGACCTGGGAACAGGCGCTACCATCATAGGTTAACGTGAACCTGGGAACAGGCGCTACCATCATAGGTTAGCGTGGACCAGGGAACAGGCGCTACCATCATAGGTTAGCGTGGACCTGGGAACAGGCGCTACCACCATAGGTTAGCGTGGACCTGGGAACAGGCGCTACCATCATAGGTTAGCGTGGACCTGGGAACAGGCGCTACCACCATAGGTTAGAGTGGACCTGGGAACAGGCGCTACCATCATAGGTTAGCGTGGACCTGGGAACAGGCGCTACCATCATAGGTTAGCGTGGACCTGGGAATAGGCGCGACCATCATAGGTTAGCGTGGACCAGGGAACAGGCGCTACCATCATAGGTTAGCGTGGACCTGGGAACGGGCGCTACCATCATAGGTTAGCGTGGAACTGGGAACAGGCGCTACAATCATAGGTTAGCGTGGACCTGGGAACAGGCGCTACCATCATAGGTTAGCGTGGACCTGGGAACAGCCGCAACCATCAAAGGTTAGCGTGGACCTGGGAACAGGCGCTACCATCATAGGTTAGCGTGGACCTGGGAACAGGCTCTACCATCATAGGTTAGCGTGGACCTGGGAACAGGCGCTACCATCATAGGTTAGCGTGGACCTGGGAACAGGCGCTACCATCATAGGTTAGCGTGGACCAGGGAACAGCCGCAACCATCATAGGTTAACGTGGACCTGGGAACAGGCGCTACCGTCATAGGTTAGCGTGGAGCTAGAAAAAGGCGCTACCATCATAGGTTAGCGTGGACCTGGGAACAGGCGCTACCATCATAGGTTAACGTGGACCTGGAAACAGGCGCTACCATCATAGGTTAGCGTGGACCTAGAAACAGACGCTACCATCACAGGTTAGCGTGGACCTGGGAACAGGCGCTACCATCATAGGTTAGCGTGGACCTGGGAATAGGCGCTACCATCATAGGTTAGCGTGGACCAGGGAACAGCCGCAACCATCATAGGTTAGCGTGGACCTGGGAACAGGCGCTACCATCATAGGTTAGCGTGGACCTGGGAACAGGCGCTACCATCACAGGTTAGCGTGGACCAGGGAACAGCCGCAACCATCACAGGTTAACGTGGAACTGGGAACAGGCGCTACCATTATAGGTTAGCGTGGACCTGGGAACAGGCGCTACCATCATAGGTTAGCGTGGACCTGGGAACAGGCGCTACCATCATAGGTTAGCGTGGACCTGGGAATAGGCGCGACCATCATAGGTTAGCGTGGACCAGGGAACAGCCGCAACCATCAAAGGTTAGCGTGGACCTGGGAACAGGCGCTACCATCATAGGTTAGCGTGGACCTGGGAACAGGCGCTACCATCACAGGTCAACGTTGACCTGGGAACAGGCGCTACCATCATAGGATAGCGTGGACCTGGGAACAAGCGCTACCATCATAGGTTAGTGTGGACCTGGGAACAGGCGCTACCATCATAGGTTAGCGTGGAACTGGGAACAGGCGCTACCATCATAGGTTAGAGTGGGCCTCGGAACAGCCGCAACCATCATAGGTTAGCGTGGACCTGGGAACAGCCGCAACCATCATAGGTTAACTTGGACCTGGGAACAGGCGCTACCATCATAGGTTAGCGTGGACCTGGGAACAGGCGCTACCATCATAGGTTAACGTGGACCTGGGAACAGGCACTACCATCATAGGTTAGCGTGGACCTGCGAACAGCCGCAACCATCATAGGTTAGCGTGGACCTGGGAACAGGCGCTACCATCATAGGTTAGCGTGGACCAGGAACAGCCGCAACCATCATAGGTTAACGTGGACCTGGGAACAGGCGCTACCATCATAGGTTAGCGTGGACCTGGGAACAGGCGCTACCATCACAGGTCAACGTTGACCTGGGAACAGGCGCTACCATCATAGGATAGCGTGGACCTGGGAACAAGCGCTACCATCATAGGTTAGTGTGGACCTGGGAACAGGCGCTACCATCATAGGTTAGCGTGGAACTGGGAACAGGCGCTACCATCATAGGTTAGAGTGGGCCTCGAACAGCCGCAACCATCATAGGTTAGCGTGGACCTGGGAACAGCCGCAACCATCATAGGTTAACGGACCTGGGAACAGGCGCTACCATCATAGGTTAGCGTGGACCTGGGAACAGGCGCTACCATCATAGGTTAACGTGGACCTGGAAACAGGCACTACCATCATAGGTTAGCGTGGACCTGCGAACAGCCGCAACCATCATAGGTTAGCGTGGACCTGGGAACAGGCGCTACCATCATAGGTTAGCGTGGACCAGGGAACAGCCGCAACCATCATAGGTTAACGTGGACCTGGGAACAGGCGCTACCATCATAGGTTAGCTTGGACCTGGGAACAGCCGCTACCATCATAGGTTAGCGTGGACCAGGGAACAGGCGCTACCATCATAGGTTAGCGTGGACCTGGGAACAGGCGCTACCATCATAGGTTAGCGTAGAGCTGGGAACAGGCGCTACTATCATAGGTTAGCGTGGACGAGGGAACAGCCGCAACCATGATAGGTTAGTGTGGACCTGGGAACAGGCGCTACCATCATAGGTTAGAGTGGACCTGGGAACAGGCGCTACCATCATAGGTTAGCGTGTACCAGGGAACAGGCGCTACCATCATAGGTTAGCGTGGACTTGGGAACAGCCACTACCATCATAGGTTAGCGTGGACCTGGGAACAGCCACAGCCATCATAGGTTAGCTTGTACCTGGGAACAGGCGCTACCATCATAGGTTAGCGTGGACCTGGGAACAGGCGCTACCATCATAGGGTAGCGTGGACCTGGGAACAGGCGCTACCATCATATGTTAGCGTGGACCTGGGAACAGGCGCTACCATCACAGGTTAGCGTTGACCTGGGAACATGCGCTACCATCATAGGTTAGCGTGGGCCCGGGAACAGGCGCTACCATCATAGGTTAGCGTGGACCTGGGAACCGGCGCTACCATCATAGGTTAGCGTGGACCTGGGAACAGGCGCTACCATCATAGGTTACCGTGTACCTGGGAACAGCCGCAACCATCATAGGTTAGCCCGGACCTGGTAACAGGCGCTACCATCATAGGTTACCGTGGACCTGGGAACAGGCGCTACCATCATAGGTTAACGTGAACCTGGGAACAGGCGCTACCATCATAGGTTAGCGTGGACCTGGGAACACGCTCTACCATCACAGGTTAACGTGGACCTGGGAACATGCGCTACCATCATAGGTTAGCGTGGACCAGGGAACAGGCTCTACCATCATAGGTTAGCGTGGACCTAGTAACAGGCGCTACATTCATAGGTTAGAGTGGACCTGGGAACAGGCGCTACCATCATAGGTTATCGTGGACCTGGGAACAGCCGCAACCATCATAGGTTAACGTGGACCTGGGAACAGGCGCTACCATCATAGGTTAGCGTGGACCTGGGAACAGGCGCTACCATCATAGGTTAGCGTGGACCTGGGAACAGGCGCTACCATCATAGGTTAGCGTGGACCTGGGAACAGGCGCTACCATCATAGGTTAGCGTGGAACTGGGAACAGGCGCTACCATCATAGGTTAGAGTGGACCTCGCAACAGCCGCAACCATCATGGGCTAGCGTGGACCTGGGAACAGCCGCAACCATCATAGGTTAACGTGGACCTGGGAACAGGCGCTACCATCATAGGTTAGCGTGGACCTGGGAACAGGCGCTACCATCATAGGTTAACGTGGACCTGGGAACAGGCGCTACCATCATAGGTTAGCGTGGACCTGGGAACAGCCGCAACCATCATAGGTTAGCGTGGACCTGGGAACAGGCGCTACCATCATAGGTTAGCGTGGACCAGGGAACAGGCGCTACCATCATAGGTTAGCGTGGACCAGGGAACAGCCGCAACCATCATAGGTTAACGTGGACCTGGGAATAGGCGCTACCATCATAGGTTAGCTTGGACTTGGGAACAGGCGCTACCATCATAGGTTAACGTGGACCTGGGAACAGGCGCTACCATCATAGGTTAGAGTGGACCTGGGAACAGGCGCTACCATCATAGGTTAGCTTGTACCTGGGAACAGGCGCTACCATCATAGGTTAGCGTGGACCTGGAAACAGGCGCTACCATCATAGGTTAGCGTGGACCTGGGAACAGCCGCAACCATCATAGTTTAGCGTGGACCTGGGAACAGGCGCTACCATCATAGGTTAGCGTGGACCTGGGAACAGGCGCTACCATCACAGGTGAGCGTGGACCTGGGAACAACAGCAAAGAAACCGTTGGATATTTCTGAGTGTACGTAACAGAGTCCAAGAAAATCATTACGGAAATTAGCGCCGAAGCAAAATATTGGTATTGGAACTGCTCAAAGGCCACCAGAAAAAAATTAAACCTCTTTCCATATAAAATAATAGCGATATTATAGGATGTTTTAATAACTTGGACCGATTTTAAATGTGAATTAAGTTTAAGCGTCTAATGATTTTATTTCTTTTATTTTCAGATTAAGCAACTTAAGCCTTTGGCAATTTCAACCATGGAAAGATTAACAATCAAACAATGTGTTAACGTTTCAAGAGTACAATTGGAATAATTGTTCGTAAATTCAAACACACTTGGTCGGTGGCAGATGTGAAAACGCCATTGCGTGCTTGTTTACGCCGTTCAGCTGAAAACATTACTGCAGTGCATGAGAATGTGGCCGAAAATCCAGACAATTCTCTTCATCATCCCGCGCAGGAATTGAACCTCTCCACAACAATGTTACATCGTTTCCAATTGCACTCTTGATGATCGATTATGTTGACCAAAAAATCGCCAAGTGTGTGAAGTGCATTTCTGTTTGAACGTCCATTTTCGGAATAGACTTGGATAACTTTAACATGTTGTTTGATTGTTAATCTTTCCATGGTTGAAATTGCCAAAGACTTAAGTTTTTAAATCTGAAAGAAAAAGGAAAATCATTAGACGCTTAAACTTAATTCACATTTAAAATCGGTCCAAGTTATTGAACACCGTTTAGAACTGAAAGCAACTGATTGCAGTGTTCCAAAACAAAATAAGAAATATCCATTGATGTTAATGGGCGTCACTTTTAACATTTTTTGCAATTTTATTTTCATATTCTCCTCCTGTATTCTCTATTGAAATATGTCGATTAATAACACTATAAATAAAGAATGGCTTTCCGAACACCTTGTATATTTTGAAAATTTCAAATAAAACAATTAGAATTAAGTGTGTCTATATCCGCATTCTTAATCAATGAATATGACTGCTTGTTTGTCTATCTTTTTTCTTCTCTTTCTGTAAAGGCCAATAACCACTTGTGAAAAAGTGAGTCATTCGCAAAACATTGTCAAAAGGATGTAGTATGTTTATAATTTACTATCTAAAATAAACTGATTCTTCACTTCCCCACAAAAATGAACACAAATCCATTTTACACTTCGTCTTTACATCGTTATATATATATATATATTTTTTTTTTTTTAATGAAATTCAATATTTAACATCTACAAAATTGAATCAATGTATAACTGAATGAATTTCTTTTTGACAAACCAAAAATATCTGAATTTTCATTTTTTCTCTTTCAGTACATTTAAAAATTAATCCAATTTAAAATTTAATATCCACAAATTTAACTCAATATACAGTTGCCTATAAAATGTCATAAAACACATTTTTAATTAATTTTCTTATAATTTCACCCCAGACGAGGCAATAAATCCACTAAGATGCAAAGGGTTACTGAGTGTGAGAGATAATGAGAGAAAAATATTTTAAAGTGAGAGAACAATAAATGAACGGGAAATAAGATAAGATAACGATTGTTCTTTAAAGTTTTGAAGATCAATGTTGACTCGGAATAAAGTGGCCAGAACTAAACTCCATAAGAAAGAAATACGAGAAAAGAAACTTTTAACATAGAATTTACGCTTATATCTAGCCATTTCAACGGTAAAATGATGAGACCTTGCCGCCAAACTAGTACTGCGCTTAAATTCATAAGGTTGAGGTAGCAAAGACGAAACCTCATCAAAACAATTACCATTAAAACATTTGTAGAAGAGTAACATGGAAGATACATTACGGTGGAAAGTGACTGAAGCCGAAATGCCAGGTCAGGACAAGTAATATCACAGATTTTTCTTTGTATTTTATCTAGAATATCTAAATACATAGGAAAAGTACAAGAATGAATATGGCAGTAATATTCAATGAATTGAAGAATGGTAAACTTATAAATATGTACAGTAGATTCTGGCGAGAAAAATTTAGTTTTAGCTTTGTTTTCCTATGTCTCTCTTGCCTTCAATCTGTCCTGTGAGTATCAAATTTTCCAAGCTCTCTTTCCTCATTATGTGCCCTATAAATTTCACCTGTCTCTTCCTGGTGTTAAGTATGAGTTTTCTATTTGTTTCCTTTTTTTTCTGTAAAACTTCCTCATTGCTCACGTGTTCAGTCCATAGTATCCTCAGTATGTTTATGTAGAACTACATTTCTTCATCTGCGAGAAGATTGTCCAGCATTCACTACAATATAGGAAGACGGACTGATATTACGTAACAGTTCAGTACTCTTTGTTTTTAATGAAATTTCAACTCTCTCTTCCTAATTTTAAGTATGTTTCATTTTTTGCTTCCATTTTCTCTAAAACGTCATCGTTGTTCATATGTTTGGTTCATGATATCCTCAACATCCTTCTTTAGAATCACATTTCTTCATCTGCGAGGAGATTGTTCACCATATTAGGAAGGAGGACTGATATTACGTAACAGTTCAGTACTTTTGGTTTGTTTCTAACAAAATTTTTCTGTTTCTTAATACTCTGCTTAGTTTTCGGAAGGCATCTTTTGTCGTTACTTTTGCTAATTTCAAAAAAACAACGCGCAAAATGATCCCATCATATTACAAAAGAATGCAAATATTTATTTCCATTGACTTACTTGTGTTCTTCAGGTGGACGATAGTTTCTTAATATTGTTCCAAATACCTGAAAAATACATAAATGAAATTGAAATAACAACAGACAAATGCAGCACATTCAGCAATAATACCTTATGGTAGCTTTGACGAAATCCAATTCTTTTATTTTTTTTTTTTAATAATTTTACCCCAAGCAAGGCAACAAGGCCACTAAGGTGCAGTGGGTTACTCAGTGTGAAATAATATGAGAAAAACATTACTCAGGAGCGAGATCAATAAAAGAACAGAAATTAAGAAAACAGAATATAATAACTGAAATGGCATTAAAATTTTCGAAAATATTTCTCGATGTGTATAACGAACAAAAAATTTAAGGATTAAATGAAGGGTCCAGTTTGAAATTCTCTGATGGTTAAATGGATTTACAGACATACACCGGAAGAAGGCCAGATAATAACAACAAAAATGAGAATATTTGGAATTAAGATAAAGAGACGGATTAATTTTATAATCTGTATTCATTATCTGAGTTCATCTCAAACTTTGATTTAAAGCAACATGTAAATATCTTACTCTTGAATAAAAGTAAAACAATTAGTTGATAAAAGGGAAATAGTGAGTAAAAAAGTAAATGACTTGCTGTCCATTTCTGAGTATGCCTGTCTGTCAAAGTGGATAAATAATCCCTCTTGCAGCCACCTAATCAGGCAGATTTATGTCCCGTCAAAACCCAAAGAGACCATCTGTAGTTTATACTCAAGCCATGCTGAGCTGACCTTAGTTACAGTTTCTGAGGCAGACCGCATTATCTGGTATGATTAACAGGTAGTTTTGATTAATTTGATTTTGACGGCTTATCAGCCCATTGTAGGTTATTTAAAGCTGAAACATATTTCGGATTACAGAAAATTGCTTATAGTACCCAGTATTCCAAAGCAGTCTCCCATCTAAATACTGACCAGTCTTATCGCAGCTTAACTTCAGCGATTAAACAAGAAAGTGTTTTCAATGTGATTTGATCTTAGACTATCAACAGTTTGAACAAGACCAGTACACTAAAACTCTCGGTCATGATGATTTATGACTTTGTGCTAAGATAATCATCAAGGACTTCTGTGCAGTTTTTTTTTATCCAATTTTTTTTTTTTTAACTAAGGCTAACCATCAATAAATCTCTGACATCATACGCCTTTACAAATAAACTGTAAATGTTTGGACCCCAAGGAATCTTTGAATGCACATTCTGCGTATTCTGTTCAACAGAATGTGTTTTGGAGTTAAAGAATTTTGAAGATGCTTGACAAATTGGTAGTCACTGGACGAGCGATCGGGGAGCATGATGGATGTAGCAAAGTCACGTATCCCAAGCCGGTAAGCTTCTGCAGTGTCGTTCGGTATTCTGTCATGAAGCAGAATTGGACATAGTCGACTAACCCGTTCCTGTTGCATTTTGCTTAACTGAATGTGCACATCATCATCCAGCTCCTGAGAGTAAACATTGGCGGTGATGCCCTGGTTAGATTCCAGAAAGCTGTAATGGATAATATGGACAATGGCGAACCAGCAGACACTCACCATTATCTTCTGTTGGTACAATTTCGGTTTTAGAAAGTGTTTGGGACCTTCTTCATCATCAAGCCATTCAGACGATCGTTTACGATTGTTACAAAATATCAATTTCTGATCATAAGTTACTATTCGATCCAGAAATGAATCATTCGAATTTCTCAGACGTGGCATCGAAAAGATTTCAAAACGCCGAACTCTTTGATTTTCATTGAGTTCATGTGGAACCTATTTATCGAGATTCTTCACCTTACCAATTCTCTTGAAATGATTCGATATTCTTCAAATGCTGACACTCATTATCTGAAAATTTATCTGATACTATGACGTGGGTTTTGTTCGACTAGTGTTTTCAGATGTTGATTGTCAATTGCAGATGGACGACTTCTACAACCTTGATCTTCAAGACTCGTATCCCCACTGCGGAACTTCATAAACCAGAACCGCACTGTCTGATCACTAGTGGATCCTTCACTGTGGTCAGAAGTTTTAGAAGCATTACAACCAAGCTTCTACTCATGCAAAATGCATTTCTTCTTTTTCCATGTTCAAGATAAGGGTTATGTAATACTTTAAACTAAATTCTGAAAGAGATTGATATACAATTAACAAAGCGGACACTTTCATCATTAGGAATGAATGTTATAGTTATGTGTAACTATTATAATAATATATTAGAACACAATTAAAAGGTTTATTCTAAAATCGGATACTATTTGCCGAACAACCTAACAGAACCTACAAGTAAACCTATACTTGCAACCAGAAAGAAATAACTGAACTTCAGGGGATTCACAATGAGGAAAGAGAGCCTAGAGAATCTAACACTCCCAGGACCTACTGAAGGCAATATAAGCAAAGGTAAACAGTAAGTAATATACTTAACAAATTTGTGTACATGGATGACTGAACAATGGTAAAAGGTAAAACAATACTTAGAGCAGCAAAAGACAAAACGTTGTCTCGAGCGATGATTGCCCACGTCATGAAGAGACATGATGCATAAAAAATATAACTTAAGGTATTCGTTTCAACAAGCATCTATATTTTAGAGTTTCTTCTTCTTCTTCTTCTTCTTCTTCTTCTTCTGTGTGCTGTATCCCTTCATGGTGTAGGAGATCATGGCTCTCCACAACTTCCTGTTCTTTCTAGCCCTTAGTAAAGCTTGTCTTTTTACTATGTCTCCTAATCGCTGTTCTGCTTATCATTTACACAAGCTCGTTAGGTAGGTTATGCCCTGCTTTCCTCTGTTCCTCTTACCTTCAATCTGTCCTGTGAGTATCAAATTTCCCAAGCCTTCTTTCCTCATTATGCACCCTAAAGATTTCAACTGTCTCTTCCTGATGTTAAGTATAAGTGTCTTTTTCCCATTTTCTCTAAAAGTTCGTCGTCGCTCATATGTTCAGTCCATTCTCAGCATTCTCCTGTAGAACCAAATTTCTGTTGTCTCTTCTCCATCTGTGAGGAGATAGCCCAGCATTCACTATCATATAGGAATACCGATATTGCATAATAGTTAAGTACGAAATTTTCATGTTTCTTAATAGTTTGCTTAGCTTTCGGAAGGCTTCTTTCGCAATCCCAGTGCGCCTTCAGATTTCAGTGTTGCACTGTCGTCCCCCATTAAAAATACTTTATATATATATATATATATATATATATATATATATATATGTGTATAAATTTTTGTACTTGCTTGATTTTTATTATTTGTAATTTGCATGCTGGGCTGATCACATTCACTGCCATATAGGAGTAACTAGTTCAGTATTCTTTTCTTTTGTGGATTACCCTTCTTGGCCTCGCCAAAAATGTCCACTAGGCGGCGCTATTTAGGTCTAAGGCAAACATTTCCTTTTCTTTCGCTTTTTCTTCTTACTACAAGATGTCGTAACTCGTAGACGAGAACGATCAGACACTTTGTTTCCCCTGGTCGATCTGACTACTGAACTCTCACACCCACGCGGACACACACACACGTGTTTATAACACACGCATGTTACACACACACACACAAACAAACAAACAAACATGCCCTTATAGCTAGTCTTAATCTTTTTTTTGTTTTGATTTCAATTGTGTATACATTTAATTCCTTTTATTAATAACGTATTAATTGTCGTTTTGTGGATTTTAATTTTTACCCGACAATCACACGAGTCCGTCAAATATTGTTTTTCGGGACGAATGTACCTCCTTCTTTTAAGTGTCGTTCCCCTTTAGGACGTAGAAGATAATGGCCCTTCACATCTTCCTGTCCCTTGTAGCTCTTAATAATTTTTGTCTTTTTGTTATTTCTCCCAAATCCTGTTCTACCATCCATTTGCTCAAACCCATCAAGTATGTTATGTGCTGCTTTCCTCTGACCCTCTTTCCCTCAATTTGTCCTGTGAGTATCAAAGTTTCCAAGCCCTCCTTCCTCATTAAATGTCTCTTCCTGATGTTAAGTATAAGTTTCTTTTTTGTTTCCATTTTCTCCAAAACCTCGTCGTTGTTCACGTGTTCGGTCCATGGTATCCTCGGCATCTTTGTGTAAAAACGACCGCATGCAACCAAAGAGGTGAGTCCGGAAACACTTTGTTTCCAATACAGAATAATATCCAAATCAAAGAAAAACGAAAAGTCTTCAGCTTACATAATTCAATAAACAACGCACACGCATTAGACAAATTGAATGACGGGAAACAAATCAGTTTTAAAAAAAAAAACAAACAAATATAAGGCCCATAAGTAGCAACGTTTTTACCCAATGAGCACTGACGTTTCCATAATCAACGTATTATTTTCGCTGCTGTCATTTTTACAGTTGTCTGAGTTACGCCTCGCTCCATTCAGACTTTATCGCCCATGTCTCGTTCTTGGAAAAAAAAAAACAAAAAAAAAAACTGATATTTAACGCAAGTCGGCATTTTTTTTTTTTTAGGAAAAAGCGAAACTAGACAGCAGACGATAATTATAAATTTAAACAGGTCAGACGTGTGACGCAGCCTTTTACCAGAGTGTGTTACTGTTATGTAATCGTTCTCAACTCAGTCCGCTTCCTTATTTCTAAGAATTGTTATTCCAGTGAACAGATATCAGTGTTATGATTGGCTTAACGTCACCTCAGAAAGAATGCGTCATGTCTGTTGCAGGGGGTGGGGTGGGGGGTGTATATGTAAAATGACATGGTTTTGGGTCATTTTTTTTAGTCGGCTTATGTCTAGGTACGTCCCAAAAAAAAACCCCGACATGCAAGTTACTAATCCGCCACTGGTTGGCATGCCACTAGCGGTAAACGCTAGTGGCTCGTTGTCGGATCGCCGGTGTGTTTCTCTCGACAATATTACCACTGATGGACCCCTAGAGGCCCGCCGGTGGCTTGATCAGAGGACAGCTGGCGTTGCCATCGGTGGCCCGACAGCTGGCTACAAGCGGTTTGCGTGTAGGGAAACAAAAAAAAAAAAAAAGATGCGATACCTAAAGTTTACAATAAATTAAAAAAAAAAAGAAGCGATACCTAAAGTTTACAATAAATTAAAAAAAAAAAAAATAGAAAATATTTCTTGAAGCTTTTATTCTAATTTTAATTTCAAGCTAATAGATAAAATTGAATAGTTTCAATAAGTAAAATACTTTGCTGTACTTCAGAACAAGGCCGCAAGAAAAACAAGGGTCGGGAGTTACTTAGAGCAAACAAAGACAGGAAGTTATGGAGAATCATAATCGTCCACGTCCTTGCTACCTCCAAAGCTTCACTGAAAAAAATGATCATACACGAGGAAAAATGCCCCAAACTTAATAAAAACAAAAATTTATCGTCAAAATTATGTTTTTATTAAGAGGAATAACCTAAGGAATTTATAATTTTAAACTATATTTTTTTAATCCTAATTCTAATTTATGTCAGTGGAGAACGTTAGCCCACAGGAATGCACATCAAATTTACTTCAATTGTGATGGTCCTGCGGCTAATGAGCAGCGGGAGCCATGTTATACGGTCCCATTCTTCCCGAAAGGTCACAGGAACAATGTCACTGTATATATCGAGTGCGCAGATACGATGCCGTATCGAGGCCTTCCTCAAGACTGAGGTTAGGTTCATTCAAAATTTTTTCTGTTCTAATTTGAACATAAATACATCTTTTGAAGATATACTGAATTTTTCTGTTGAATATCTTCTACTTCTCTTTATATGATAACGTGTTCCCGGTCATCTGGTGCATCTGACTATCTATGTGATAAAATATAGTTTTATGGTATGCTTTATTTATGGGTAAAAGTGCTCTATGTCAAGGATGAAGCGTGTGTAAATATAAAAGTGGACACAGTATGGCAACAGTTTGTTTCATGATTGAACACAATCTTCAGGCCATGTGTGTTGTGTGGTGACTCAACTATTTACATATGCTGGTCAGTGGGAGTTGAACGATAATAATGGCAGTGTTAATAATGGCACAAGTGAAAAAATAGGGAAAAATGGACTCTTTAAACAGCTTAAAATTAAACACCAGTAGCTGTTTAATTTTAATTTTAAGATATTTAAAGTTAAATTTCTAATCAGTTGACGGTTGTTACCAGTTTCTTTACTTCTGGTTGAGTTGTCCAGAAACCATCAAATACACACCATTAGATCTCAATGGCTCCATAACAACCCCATCATAGAAGTCATATTAAGTGATAAAGAAAAAGAGAAGATTTGCTTCCAAGGTGACATAATTATAAGATCAACTACTATTAGATGAAGATATTTTTCTGTTTTTCTACTTGTGTCATTTTTACCGATGCCATTATGACCTAAATTCCAGTGAGGGATTTATGAGTAGAAAAGTCAGATGTTTCCAATCTATTGTTTTATCCGAACGATTATTGGGTTGGTGGTAACAGTAATATTTTAAATTATTGAGTAGAAATAATTGTGTCAGGGTGTTATTATTTGTAGTTATTGTATCGTGTTGTTTATTAACTTTTAAGTAACTCATTATTTATTATTGATTACTTGGTGTATTTTTATTTATTCATTAATTATGTGGTTGTTGATTATTATTAAAATTACTTAGTTGTGATTATGTGTGCATTCATAATTTGTTTATTTATTTACTTTATTATTATTATTTGTTCTTTGGGGTTGGTTGCCTTATTTGTTTTTTTAGTTTAAAACGTTACATTTTCTGCGTTGTATATAGTGTATATATTTGCATTTTTTGTATATAGTGTATATATTTGCATTTTTTGTATATAGTGTATATATTTGCATTTTTATGACGATGTCTTGCAATGTATTCATTTTTAGTTTTTGATTTTTAAGTAGCGTAGTAAAACATTTGTATGCATTTTGAGATAAGTATTGAGCGTTTCTTTAGTCATTTCTGTTGGTCTGGGAAAGTGATTATAGCTCCAGACAAAGTTTACTGTTTTGGGGATTTATCGTTGTAGGATCATGTTCTTTTTCTTATTTCTCATTATATTTTCATTTTATTTTTAAGATCCCATATATATATATATATATATATATATATATATATATATATATATATATATCCGAATGTAATGATAACAAAAAAATAATATATACATTCTAGCGTTCATATCATTAATTCAAAAGAGGGCTCAATACTGATAGTAGAGCAATAATTATTTATTATAATTTTTTCATATAGACAAAAACAATTTACTCACTACAAAGATGCAACTTCGTTTCAGTGCATTTAGTTGCTCCTTGACTGGTGATCCTTGTTCTTTTTTTCATTGTAATATAAATTAAGCTGCCCCACACATTTGATATATATATATATATATATATATATATATATATATATATATATATATATACGATAAATCAAGAAAACACCTTAAAAATCCAAATCGGCTATAATTTATTTCATGAATATTATTATATTCATCTCTTCAGACGGAAAGTTTTTAAGAAATGGAATCGAATTCTACAGACAGATATATCGGGATAAAAAAAGGAGAGATTGAAAAAAAGAGTGAGAGAAAAAAATGTAAACGCATATATTTCTGTGTGCTGTTCTTTGTTGCTTTCTTAGACGTGTACAAATATGTTGACTCTACTGAGGACGATTTCAAAATCATATAACCACAATACTCAATATGGTACAAAGCCTAAGTTTGAGAAAAGGATGGGGGCTGTTCATCTCTGTCCTATCATTAACTTAGTCGCAATCATTGACCCGATCATTCGATAATATCACTTTCACAAGAGCAAGGTATTTTCATTATCATTCACACTACACTCAATCGAAACTGTATTCCCTTTCTCCATCAAGGAAAGTGGATTCCTGTCGGGGAGTACATCCCTCATTTTCTAGTGCAGTTGATTCATTTCACTGTTTAATATAACAGTGTACCAGTAAAAATAACGTTTATACTAACAAGTAATGTCGGATCAAAAATTGCATTTAAATAATCACACACGCGCACATATATGTATGTGTATATGAATCACCTGAAGGACCCCTTCCTGCCTCCCATCAGTATGGCTGATACTAACCACCATGAGAGTGACACGTTACACCTTCTTGGGTTTAGATTTCCGGTTGAGATGAAATGGCAAAATTATAGTGAATGTATTGTTAGGCTATGTTCACTGCGTTAGGCTAGACTTTTTTCTCACCTATCTTATCTATTTATAAGTCTACCATTAGTCTCGGCTTTAGTCACTTTCCTACCGCCGTAAGGTAGCTTCCCTGTAGCTTTTTTTATAAATACATTTTATGGTAATTGTGCGGATGGACTCTTCGTTATGATATTTAGACTTTATGAGTTTAAGTGCGGTACTAGATTAACAGAAAGGTCTCATCAATTCACAGTTGAATTAGCAATATGTAGCCGCAAGTTCTATGCTAACAGTTTCTTTTCTCGCACTTCTCGCTTGTTGAATTCTCTTCCGGCTCTGTGCTTTCCAGCCGGCTTTGATCTTCAAAACTTTAAATGCAATATCAATCGCTATCTAATGTCTTCTTACTCTTCTATTGCTCTCGCTGCTTAATAATGTCTTTTTTTTTTTTTCACACTCAGTAACCGCTTGTGTTTTAGTATCTTTACTGCCTTGCATTATATTATTAAAATATATATATATATATATATATATATATATATATATATATATATATATATATATGTGTGTGTGTGTGTTTTTTTGAACAATAAAAAATAATTGAGAAATTAAAAATTAAAATTTTCAGTTGTATATAATATTATTTTTTTTTATTATTTCAATTAGGTTCCTCGACTAGTGTCGGCCAGCATGCCTATCATCAGGAGAAAAAAAATTTGCTTGTTAGTGAAGTACAGGAATATATATATATATAGAAAAAAAGAAATAAAAGAAAATAACAGATTTTCGAATCTAAAATTCTTTTTAAAAACGTGAAATATATATATAGAGAGAGATAGATAGATAGATAGATAGATAGATAGAGAGAGAGAGAGAGAGAGAGAGGAGGGAAGAAAGAAGAATTGATAGAAGTAAAAACTAAAATAGAATGACCTGGCCAAGAATTTTTTCCTTAAAGATTTGAAATTCGATATAATTTCTTTCAAATCTGATCACACTCAACATCAACCCTGTTATTTATTATTTACAGTCTAATTAAAAATGCCGGCTCAAACAAAACGTAATCAAATTGCTGCATGGAAAATTTCAGGTATGAAGAACTGTGAGATGATAAAACAGTTGAATGTCTACAGAAAGACTGTCTTAATGTGTGGAAATAAGTTCAAGAGTAGCAAACAACCTCACCAAATTCAATTCCAGGAAGAAATAATTAACGTGAAATGTTGATTCCGATGTCAACTGTCTGTCCGCTTGTCTCTCTCTCTCTCTCTATATATATATATATATATGCACACACACACACACACACACACACACACACACACACACACACACATATATATATATATATATATATATATATATATATATATATATATATATATAGGGTATATCAAAAAATACTTTTACAAACTTTCGGGGGGATTCCTCACATCAAAACAAGGACAAGGCGCTGTGTTGTCCTGTAGATTTGACTATATTTGTCATTCGTGTACATTGTGGCTAGTCTCTCTTCAGCATTTAACGCGTGTAGTAGTGAGTTAACTGAGAAGTGTTCCATTTAACAATGACCGGATATTCATATCGTGAGCAAGCAGATATGATTGTTTACATACAGCCGCGCGAATGGTAATGGGCGCGAGGCTGCACGGCTGTATCAGATTGCGTTTCCAGACCGAAAGCAGCCGAGTCATTCAACGTTTGCTTCTGTTTATCGTCGCGTTACTGAGACAGGATCAGTGACACCACAAACTATGGGAGACCGAGATCCGATTGTACGCCTGGCGACGAAGAACACATTCTATAGGCTGCCGGAGACGATCCAGGTATCAGGACAAGTCTAGTTTCCCTAGCATGTGGTGCATCTCATAATACTTCATGTAGAGTACTTCAAGAGCAGCTCCTGTATCCGTATCATTTGTAAAGTGGGCAACGCCTTTCGGCCTCTGATCACACACCAAGGGAGAACTTGTGCTGATGGTTTAATGCTCAAACTGCCGACCTGTTGTTTGTTTCTTCAGTCTTCTTTACGGGTGAGGCAATATTTGGAATAGATGGAATAACCAATTTATACGTGGGCGGATCAGAATCGCATACAGGCTAGACAGCAGCATTAGTTTACGATTAATGTATGTGCTGGAATTGTAGGTGACTCTCTGGTAGGTCCATATGTCCACTCAGCACGTCTTACGGGAGCTGTCTACAGGAATTTATTTCGAACACACTTCCAAACCTGCTAGAGGATGTACTCCTGCTAATACGAAGACGCATGTAGTTTATGCATGATGGGCCGCCAGCACATTTTATTCACATTGTTCGCGATGCATTGGATGACATCTACCATGAAAGATGGATAAGTAGGTGAGGACCGGTTCAACTGTCTGCACGTTCCCCGACCTCAAAGCTGTAGGATTTTTATCTTTGGGAGCACCTAAAACAATTGTTTTATGCAGCAGACATTAATAATGCAGATATGCTTCATCAATGTTTCATGGGGCTCTAGCGAAACCATTCGACACCGTGTGGGAATATTTGAAAGGGTGCGCCTTCAATGACCCGACAGGCCATTTTGAACACTTGTTATAAGTTGATATGCTGAGGTACAATAATGGCCTTTTGGATATATATTTATATAAACATTTTACCTTGTTTTGGCGTGAGAAACCCACCCCCTAATTTTGTATAAGGATATATATATATATATATATATATATATATATATATATATATATATATATATATATATTGATGTAGACGGAATAAATTCCAATAACCAAAAATACTATTCTTAAAAGAGTACTTAATACAGAGTAGAGCAAATATTATTTATTCAAACATTATTTCTACATTCAACATTATTTGATAAGATACTAGAAGTGTTGAAACAAAATGGCTATTTTTGTAGTGATGTTATAACATGTTTATGTTATAATTTTTTAAATAAATAATTATATATATATATATATATATATATATATATATATGGTTATCTGTGTGTATGTGTGTGTGTGGCGGAAGGGGGATCAAATATAAATCAAACATTAATAGGTATCCGACAGAATGATAAGATAAAGAACAATTCATTCATAAAAGCGCAGCAAGTCAGATTGATAAACGGTTCTTATTTGTTCTTTATCTTATCATTTTGTCGGATCCCGATTAACATTTGATCTCTATTTGATCACAACATATCTTGTCTGAAGAGATAAACTACTTCAAAAAGACAACAACAGGCTATACAAAAAGTGAAACGTATTAGACTGCTATTTTTTCTTTGTCTTATCTTATATATATATATATATATATATATATATATATATATATATATATATATATATATATATTAAAAGAGAAAACAGAAACCGCAAACGTTTTTTTATATATATATATTATACTTTATTTTCCTTTATTTTTTGCTACACACGTTTCGGGTTTTGTGACCTTCATCAGCCGAAGAATGGTTATTTCCACATTATTTAAAGGAATGATTTTTTTTTAATGTTTTCTGATGTCTAACCATTGTCATTTGAGTGCTGTTGTAATCCAAATTCTTCTTGGAATGTCGAAAAATATCCCTTTGCTTAAGGGGTAATAAAACTTAAGAAATTGTAGGATATTATATGAATTAATGTCATGAAAGAATTCTTTCGTGTTGGTTGTTTTTGTCGTATTTTAAACGGATTTGGGTGATACAATTTGTGTGTATGTGCGTATTGTTAGTAATTTTAATATAAATACGTAATGTTGATAATTTTACTATAAATATGTATTGTTGGTCATTTTTTTAGATGAAAATATATTGCTTGTATTTTTACTAAAAAGTTTATTTTTTTATACTTTCATAGTGTTTTATTTGAGTGTGTACTATTTACCCATAGTTGGGGCACTAAGAAGTGCTACCACCCTGGGCCAGGATGGACCCGAGAACAATATCAATTAAGAGGACGTTCCACGCTCCTCTAAACATCCAATCTCCCGATCAGAGGTCTTGTTGCCGGATGTAGTCTATCGTCATACTAAGGACAATTTTAAATTACAAATCGGGGTTTGTTTTCATGTATTTATTTTTGTGTTGTTTTGAATAAGAACGTTTAGTCTGAAGATTGAAAATAGCTAAAAAAAAGTGGCCAAAAGGGACAATGAAAATTCTGTACTCCCTTACTCCTATCAAAAAGGTAAAACGTTAGGATGTTGGAAAATTGAATAAAATTAATTAAATCTTCCCTGTCTAGCATATTTAACGAAAGATATTTAAAAGATATTTAAAAGAAATGTTGCTGCCAATAATATATATATATATATATATATATATATATATATATATATATATATATATATATATATAACGAGACGAAAAGAGTATAAATTCAAACGTTCATAGCATTAATTTAAAAGAGGGCTCAGTACCAAGAGTAGAGCAATAGTTATTTATTATAAAGATTTTACATACGAACAAACAAGTACTCACGACAAAGATGCATTTTTGTTTCGATGTGAATGCATCTCGACAGGTGAGAAACAAAGATGCATCTTTGTCGTGAGTACTTGTTTGTCCGCATGGAATATATATATATATATGTAGAAAGTTTAATATATATATATATAAAGTAAATATATATATATATATATATATATATATATATAAAGTTTAATATATTTATTTTAAAATTTTCACCCCAAGCAAGGCGGGAGTGCCACAAGCACGAAAGGGGCTACAGTGAGAGGGAGCAAGAGTTAAAGAGGCGTGAAAGAGGAAAGAATGAAGAAAAGGACGGGGAATAGATCAAGGCATCTGGAGATATCGATTGAAATTGCATTTGAATAGTCGGAGATTATAGCTATCAGGAAACCAAACAAGAGGAAGGGAGTTCCACAGACGGGAAGTGCGAGACATGAAACTATTGGTGTAGAAGAGTCGGCTACATTTAACCGTTTCGACAGTGACAGGGTTGGATTGAGAGGCCGACATAATGGCACGTTTAAATTCATACAGTTTGGGAACTCGCGAAAATAACTCGTCGAAGCAGTTAATATGAAAGTATTTCTAGAAAAGACAGAGGGAGGCGACAGCACGTCTGTGAGAAAGCGACTGTAAACGAGATGCCAGATCAGGGCCAACCACATTGCTTATCTGTCTCTGGATTTTGTCGAGGACCCTAAGACGAAGAGCGGAGGCTCCAGACCATATATTCCATGCAATATTTCTGATATTTCTGATATATATATATATATATATATATATATATATATATATATATATATATATATATATATTATTATTATTATTATTATTATTATTTCAAACGTTATTTTTAGTGGATACCGTGTTTGAAATGGACGCCTTGTATTTTATTTTAGATGGTGTGTATTACGTTTGCCGAGTAATTGTCCATGGTTATATGTAATTGTGGGAAATGCCCAGCAAATACAATTGACAAAGTTTATAATAAACAATAACAAAAGTAAGAAAAGAACAGGGTAAACATATTATTAAGCAAACAATATATGCAAGACAAAACTAAGCAAAAGGACAGTAATAAGGCAAAAACTGTTTACAAACTAGGAATGGTGTTAACACATAAAAGGGAATACAAACAAGTGATATTCTGACTTCAAGACAAGAAAGAACAGAAACATATATCTGATGGTACGGAGAAATGGCCTATCTTATTGACTAGGAAGAAATTCCAGCATGCACCTGTATGTTTTGTCTGCAAATTTAGGAAGAGGGATATTTTTGCAGTCATTTCCACTTAGATCGGAACCAACATTTATCCACTCAAAAAAGTCTGAAGTAATAAAAATGTCGGAATATATATATATATATATATATATATATATATATATATATATATATATATATATATATATATATATGTCCCGGAAGAGGATATATTTGATCGAAGTAACCAAGTGGTTTTGGCTACTATAACCAAGTAGTACCCGGTAGCAGTAATCGACTGGTACTCGTCGTAGTCGCAGGTAATAGGTGTAGACCAATAGAATAGCCAATGACGTAGTCCTATGGGCGTCGTCATAAACTTAAACTCTGTCGTATCTACACGTTCGTCTGTATTTATGACGGACACTAGCCAATAATATTCCAGTGAGGGGGAACACAGGTGTATGTATATTCCATTATATCAATATATATATATATATATATATATATATATATATATATATATATATATATAAGTAGATATTGAAGTCATCTCCTAGCAGCAACAGCCTGCTTGATACATAAACTCAATCCAATAATATCCACTTTTATATTTATATACGCTTTTTCTCTTATATTGAGCACATTAAACCATAAATATAGATGCCTTAAAATTTTATGTAAAACTCTCTCTCACTATATATATATATATATATATATATATATATATATATATATATATATATATATATATATATTATTTTTTTTTTAAAATATGATTCATCACGACACAGAAATTACTGTTTCGAAATTCCTCAGCAGTATTCAAGTTTAATTTTCAATACTAAACCCTAACTACCGGATGGCAGTCTCATCCCCAGGCGATTTTTGGAATAACTATGCTACCGAATGCTTTACTCATTTATATTTTTGAAATTTGGGTGTGATCTAGGGTTGTTTTTCATTATTATTTGATTGAAGTAGGGGTGTTTATTATATGCCAAGTTTTTGGAGTCGTGTAAGGTTAGTTTTTTTTTTGTCTAGCTACAGTGGTTTATCTTATCCGACTCCCTGCTAAAACTCTGATTGATGTTGTAGTTCTGTCTTTATTATTATTATTATTATTATTATTATTATTGTATACTAAAAATTTAAGTGATCGATGTAGTTCTGGTAGTTTTTTATGTTTATTTTTTTTTGTTTTTTTGTTGATGATTTCTTAATGGGGGTTTAAGATTATGACTGGGTTGTGTTTTTAAACCTATTGTTTTAATTTTACTTGTTAATAGATTTGGAAATTATTATTATTATTACTTATATTTATTATTATTTTTTCCGTCCATTTATATAGAATATATATATATATATATATATATATATATATATATATATATATATATATATATATATATTTCAGCCAATCAAACTGATTTGCTTCTTGCTCAATGTATTAGCTACTAAGCGATAATTTGACGGATAAAATATAAAATATTTGAACCAACTACTTACTTTTCCATTGGCTGGAGGCTGACCACTTCCAAATGTGCTGGCTACCACTAACAACAACTTTTCTGACGGAATATTCTTTATATCATAAGAATCCATGCATATCACCTGAAAAAAAAAGACAATAATAATAATAATAAAAATAATAATAATAATTTCGTGAAATACTCTCACACGCTCTGGTACACATGACCAGGCATTTATTTTTAGCAGAGTATTAAGGGCTTAGGGTCTCGCAACATTATAGCACTTCTCCACGACAACCCAATCGATATTGATTAGCTATCCGCTACAACTCTTCTCATAGAGGAACTCTCTTCCAATCAATGTTGACTTAATGAGGCCTTTATAGTCGGATCACTTTCGATAATAATTGTGCTTGTCTCTCCCTACGTGATTTCGCACTACCGTTATGTCCTGCCAATACCTCATAAATAAAGGACTATTTCCGTTTTGATTGTGTGGAAAGAGGGAAAAGTAAGAAAATGAAAGAACGAAACGAAGAAGTGAAGATATAAGTGTTTAACGACTGTTACAGTGAAAGTATTTGTCAATTTCAAATCTTTTCATTTGTACCCACTTCTTAACATAACGACCAGCATTCACATTTATGATTTTTTATTGCAGGATCTTATTAAAGTTGATAAGCTCAAATATGATAGGGGAATTGCTATGGATATATTTATTGTCATAGAACTCGACATGGGCTTATTCAGTTATAAACTTAAGAATTAAGATTCATCAGAAATTTAAAACAGGAAAACTGTAAAATATTGACAGGTTAAAACTAATAATAATAATAATAATAATAATAATAATAAGTGGGCTTGTGTGATTTTTAACGGCAAAATATTGGTATGAACACTACACAGACCTGGTTACAGAGATAGGGGCTATAACAATTTTATGGGATTTTATATTACACACAGAAGAAATCAAAGCTAATCGGCCAGACATTGTGATCAAAGACCACAAAAACAGAATGTACTTTCTCATTGGCATCGCATTTCCTGCAGACTCTAATGTATCTTTAATAATAATAATTCCAGTTGTGGTTAAGGATTGGCTTGATTGGAAAAGGTTCTGATTGACCATTTGAAGGAATTTCTGATGACTCATTCCTTAAAGAAATACAAAAAAAAAGTTTTCACGGGTACAGCTCACACTTTACGATCGATGTAGAATGCGTGTGGACTTGGATTGTTTTATATTTATTTTATAAAAATGTTTATTGGAAACTGTCACCATGCTATTTTCTTGCTTTAGGCTTCTGATGAAGGAAAGGAAATATACAAACAGAAATAATAATAATAATAATAATAATAATAATAATAATAATAATAATAATAATAATCCTTGCTGCGCAGGACCAATGCTTGCTAACTAGGAATTATCAAGCACATATACTAAAATATTTTGTCAGCCCAAAATGCAGATTCTGTGATAAATATCCAGAAACGATTGATCATCTTGTATCAGGTTGCACGGTGTTGGCACCCACTGAATATAAAACCCGACATGACAGAGTGGGCCAATACCTGCACTGGAAAATCTGCAACTTCTACGGGAAGAAAACTGAAAGAAACTGGTATGAATACCACCCAGACCCGGTTAAGGACCTGTTAAATTCTATGGGACTACAAAATGACAGAACAATCAAGGCCAACCGGCCAGATATTGTTATTAAAGACCACAAACAAAAACGGTGCTTCCTTATTGACATGGCAGTCCCTGCTGACTGCGATGTATCTTTGAAGATATACAAAAAGTTGTCAAAATACAAGGACCTTGAAATAGAAATCTCGAAAATGTGGCATATGGGAACATCAACAATCCCTGTAGTTGGAGCCCTAGGACTGGCTGGAAAAGATTGCAGTAGACTAATTGTACCTGGAAGTCCATGCCTCAAGGAGATACAAAAAATTGTTCTGACAAGTACAGCCCACACTTTACGAAGGGCTTTATCTATTTATCTATTTATCTATGTAATTTAATTTTTTTTTTGTCAGTGGAAAGTATCATGACGCCATTCTAACTATTGACTGTGGCGGGACCCAAAAAATGTAAACGCCAGAAATCAAAGAAAATAAAAATAATAATAATAATAATAATATGGAAAGTACTGGATGAATGACATTGATGTTCGGCATACCCACCAATGGCTTAGAAGTAATAGTCTTAAGGTGGAGACAGAAGACCTTACAATGGCAGCACAAGACCAATGCCTTCCAACTAATGTCTACAAGGCTGAAAATCAACAAAAATGTTTCAAGTCTCGCCTATCGTTTATGCCATAAATTTCATGAAACGATTGATCACATAGTATCACGGTGAAGAATACATTATTAGACGTGACAGGCTAGGACAAAATATTCATTCTGTTCGAACTGTGGTATTGAAGTCCTGGACACGTGGTACAAACACCGCCTGAACGATGTTTATAGTGTGGAATTTCCCATTCCTCACAGACAAGGAAATTGATGTAAATACACAAGATATAGTCATAAAAGATTTAAAAAAGAAAACCTGCCAACTAATTGATATGACTTGCCAACAGGACATCAATGTTTCTAAAAAAGAATTTCAAAAACTATGAAATTATAAGGACTTGCAAAACAAAGTAACAAAATTATCCTTGCTGTGACAGGGGCACTGGGTATGATAAAGAAATGTACCGAAAATCATGTGTGCAAAATCCTTGAACACATCAGCATCAGCATTATTATTATTATTTTTATTTTCTTTGATTTCTGGCGTTTACACATTTCTTTCCGGGTCCCGCCCAGGGACCTAAGGTTAGAAATGGCGTCATGACACTTTCCACTGACAAAAAAAAAAAAAAAAAAAATTAAATTACATAGATAAAGCCCTTCGTAAGGTGTGGGCTGTACTTGTCAGAACAATTTTTGTATCTCCTTGAGGCATGGACTTCCAGGAATCCCTTCAATTATCTACTGCAATCTTTTCCAACCAGTCCTAGGGCTTTAACTACAACAGAGATTGTTGATGTTCCCATATGCCACATTTTCGTATTATTATTATTATTATTATTATTATTATTATACCTTTGATTTCTGGTGTGTACATATTTCTTTCCGGATCCCACCCAGAGACCTAAGGTTAGAAATGGCATCATGATATTTTCCACAGACAAATAAACACACACAAACACACCCACACACACCAACATATTTTACATAGATATTATTATTATTATTATTATTGTTGTTGTTATTATTATTATTATTATTAACAATACCGGAAGCGCTTGGTACGAGTCCAAATATCCTTACAAAAAATCTAGAAAAATTGTAAATCCGATAAAAAAATTAAAATATCAACTACAACAATGTTAAAATCAGCCAGAGTACTAAGTAAAGTTCTGTTACTTATCTGTTACAATTACGGCTGTATATCATTTTTGTATACATTCGATTAAGCGTATTAAAAATTTCTTCCCATGTTTTGCCATAAAAATATCTATATTTCAAGCACATGGATTTTTTTTTGTTTAAATGTCCTTAAAGTAAAAGATGAAAATACAAAACTTAATGTTACCTTTGTATTAAATGCCAATCGGAAGTTGCGAGCGAGTTTTTCTGCAAAAAGCTGGGCAGTTCCGGTTTCAGAAGCATAAAGAATTGTGCAGGGGATCCGTTGCTGAAGGATCATTCGGTAGATTATAGAAGTGAAGAAAACGGCCCTAAATTAAGGAAGCGGAAAATATGCTAAAATGTTTCGAATCAAAAGCAGTTGAGTGAAGAGACTTATAAAAGAAAAGAAAATAGTTTCAAAGACTTCACGACAAAACTAGAAGCAAACCGTATAGGAAATAAGTCAGTCAAGCTGGGCACACTCCCACGTGATATAATAGTTAGCAAGTTTGTCATGCTAAATCAATTATAGTTCTCAGATCATTAATGAAGATCTATGCAGAACTGCTATTTAATATTTAATCTATATAATAAATGCGAATGTCAGTGTGTCACTGTGTCACGTTTTTCAAATTTACTCCTAGGGGCTCTCGCCAAACAGGATCATGCTATTTTGGAATCAGGACAACACCGAGCGTAAATTAAAAACATTCCGCGTCGGATCCGGGTCTGGATCCGGATCCGGATCCGGATCCGCAATCCTGAAATCTTGTATTCCCAAATTTTCATTACTGCGATTGTTTTCGGATTCCACCATTTTGCCTTCTACTGATAAAAACAATTAAAGGGACACAACTCTTTAATTTTCAATAGCTCATGTTCAAATTAAAAAAAATACTGTTCTCAAATAACAGTGTTTCAAAATAAAATTGTTCGTATTTTGAACTTTACTCCGAGAGGCCGTAGCTCAACATATCATACCATTTTGGAATCAGGCCGACTCTGTGAGAAAATTAAAACCATTCCCGGCCGAATCCCGACCCGCAATCTTGAAATCTTGTATTCCCAAGTTTTCATTACTGCGATTGTTTTCGGCGAATTTTGTACAATTTTTTTCTACAATAACAATTTTTATAACTTGTAAATGAATTTGGGAATAATCGAAATTAATTGCGAAATCCAGCGAAAGTCACCCATGAAATAAAGATAATTGTCTTTACGGAAAGTAAGGACCGACACACATCAATTTTTTTAAAATTAAGTGGCGGCAGAAAAATTATCATAGATCTTTTAAAAGGCAAACTTAAATATTAATGCAATACTTAAATGTAGCGATCAATTTTAAGTTCTCCTGTCTTCTCCTCCCTACCTATTGTGATGATGGCCCAATCAAGATCCCTTCGCAGGAGCCAGATTATCAGCCGTCAAGTGCTTACATTTCTTTTCGTCCACCAGGGGATAAAACGCGTGGGGCCTCAAATACGTTTCCATTTTTGTTATTATTCATATTGTCTTTTGACAGATATTTTTTTATCTTTGAAATTTCACACACACACACACACACACACACACACACACACACACACACACACACACACACACACACACACACACTGGGGGTTCCAATAACTTGGACCGATTTTAAAAATGAATTAAGTTTAAATGTCTAGTGATTTTTTTCTTTTTCTTTCAGATTTGATGGACATTTGGGCGATGTTATTTTTCAAACATAATTGCCCTGACCCAATACAAAAATAAATAAATTTTCACCAATAGCAATTATTTACTGCTGAATTTGATCCGTATTCTGAAAAACTCTTATATATAATCCGTCTTAATGAAACAGCCATATATATATATATATATATATATATATATATATATATATATATATATATATATATGCATTTAAATAAAAAGAAAGAACAAAGAACAGTAAGATATATAATCCGGTGTTTTACAAAATAGTGCCCAATGTAAATTTACAGAGCATTAATATTATAAATTAATTTATTTAAAATATGTTTTTTTCTGCTACACAGTTCTAACCATGTTTCAAAAATGGAAGCTAAAAGCCACGAATTTAATTTTGCAATTAAATTAAAGACATTAGTTCCATTTCATCCTCAAGCGAATTTTGGAGTAACTTTTAAAATTACTGGGTTTTAAAGACACAGCTAAAATCCCGTTTCCATGGTTACAGAAAAAACAAATATAGAGGTTAATGATTTAAATGCCGACGATGTATTCTCGCCATTTAAATCATTAACCGCTATATTTGTTTTTGTATGAATGATTCATGAATTTATATATATATATATATATATATATATATATATATATATATATATATATATATATATATATATATATATATACGTGTGGGCGTGGTGAGCGTATTTGTGTGTGTGTTTAAAAACGTTTCATGGAAAATGAATGAATCAATTTTCAATAAAAGCTTTTGAAGATTGCATTCAAGCAGGGAACAGTCTGGCGTCACTCGGTGTTGACCTCAATGTGCACTCATATTGACACATGCACTCTCCCTCTGATATTAAGCACTTTTTATCCAAAAATATAGCATACCTAAAAACTATATTATCTCATATATATATATATATATATATATATGGAAGAGGTTATAGTTGTTCCAACGAGATAAAAGTGTATATTTTAAAAAGAAGAGAGTAACCTCAAAAGTTTTTGGTTGTAATGTAGCTTTAAAAAAATATATATATTATGCTTCATTTTCTATAATTTTGTAACACGCGTTTCGGGTCTCGCAACCTTCTTCAGGCAAAGAGTAGATATTTCCACATAGTATTAAAATGAATTAATTCTTCTTATCTGTTTCGATGTTAAAAATTCTTTTTTTATGTGTGGTAGTCCCACAAATGTCTTTTTGGGACTTTCTTTGACTAGTCCGAGAAAGACATTTAATAGTAAATGGATTTTTTAGACCTACCGTATTTCTCATTACAATAAACATTATATTTAGTAGCTGCACCTGTTTGAGTAGACTTCTTAGAGTGAAATTAAGGTCTATGATCGAAATTCCTAGGCACCGTGGTGTCTGATAAGATTCGAGCCTGTGAAATCAGGGAAGCCACCTTTGTTGCAAGTAAAAATAATAAAAATAATAAATGAATAAATAAAAATAGTACATACTTTGCCAACACAGAAAAGGTAACATCCCATCGTCTTTCCCTTGTAAAAATGGCAATATTTTCCGGTTTTTTCCACTTGTGAATTTTTATGATGTTTTGCTGCAAATTTAGACGAAAAACAAAATCACACACGGATAAAGAAAATCAATTTCTGTAGTGTTCCGTTTAACGAACACAATTCAGATTAGACGGAATAGCAGTTCCGCAGAAACTTACTGTGCAACTACTTTTGTTTTGAGCTATCAGGTCGCCGTGTCTTTCTGTTTATAAAGAGTATACATGGTGTATGTAGGAGCAGATGAGAATTAGTTGTCTTTAGAAAAATGAATTGATATATAGATTTATGAGGAAGAGATATGATAGAATCCAACTGACATTTTTAAAGATAATTTGTAAAAGTTTACAGATGTAGCAAGAGAAATTGTCTGATTAGGAAATCTGGAAATTGTAGATTAACTAATCTTGAAACCCTGTGCGCCGATGGTGGTGGGGACGAGGGTACTCCCACCTGACGATGAACCACTTCAAAGAGATCCTGGACGAAAAGCGTATCTTACACGCAAACGATAGAACGCACTTGGTTAACGCTAAAGATGTCCTTGCCAGTACCTTGAATCCAACTCTAACCTTAACCTGAAATTCGAAAATGTTTTTGAAATATTAGAAATTGTGTACAACCCAAATAAACAAGAGGAGGAGGGGAAGAAAACGAAGAGAACGAGTTCGACAACAGTATCGATATTTTCGACGCTGAAAGGTAAGGTAAACGAAGCAGGCGACAAATAGCCGCCATCTTGAAGCGTATTCATAAACCAAAGACTAGCCATCAATGTCACCAAAAAACATGGCGTTCTACCATCAAAAAACCGAGTACGAACACCAGTCGAGTTCGTTACATCCACTTACGCGCAGATAAATTTAGGAAAGGTATAAATCCATCTCTCCCCCTCACTATAGGTTAAATAGTAAGACTTGTATCTAGGAAAATCATTGTTATGTAAAAATAAACTGTTACTGAAATATTAATCGCAAGAAAGAATTATTCTTACCCCTCCCCCACCAAAAATACGTTTCGGCTTTAAATAACACACAAAGGGTTGATAAGTCGTAAAAAATCAAACGAATCAAATCAAAACTGGCAAGGAAAATTCAAGTATCCCAGATTATTATACCATCCGTGATTTTGAATCCCACAGAGTTTTCTAGATATTTTATAGACTTAATCTGACATCAAGCCTAGAAAATATCAAGAGAAAAAAAATTCTCAGAAATTTATATTATAACCGAAGAGCGATTGTTAACGTGCTAGAAAAAGTCGTTTTCCATAAGTGAACCACTCTTGTGTCACTGTGCTAAACAAAGCTAAGTTCATATTATATTTTTAATTAATTAACCACCAAGCAAGGCGATAATGCCACTAAAATGCAAGGGGGGGTAATGGGAATGAAAGAGAATACGAAGACTTTAGAAGGAATCGGAAATCCAATCCTAAACAAGAAACAAGGGAAAAAAAACTCTACTCCTGTTTAAAAGACCAGCGAGTACAGTGACCCAGAGGATAGGCGAAAATGTTTTCTCCTAATGAGGAAAACAATAAAAAGTAAATGAAATTCTGAGTTTAGGCGGAGACATCAGATATATACGGCTGAAGTAGACTTTAGAACGAACCGAAGACCCAGTCCTAAAAGAGTGGGAAAAGGGAGATAAACGTTTACTTTTGTTCAAAATACTGCGGAGGAGTTTGTGAACCGGACGATAGGCGAAGCTGTTTACCCCTAAGTGTTTACAGTGTAACGATGATTAGGAAGTTTATCTCAAGGGCCGTTGCTTTTATAGCCCGTCTACTAGTGTATTACTGCGTAAAACAAAACTGAATAAATTCAGTAAATAGACAATAATAGAAAGGGTCATAAAGCAAGGATATGTCTTCTTACCGGACTCCAACATTCATAGTGAGGTGATCTTAAGAGAATTAGAACTCCTAGTAGGATTCATTATTGGAGGCTACAATCTTAACAGCATACGGTATGCAGATAACTCTGTATAGAAGACACAGAAAGGAAACTATAGAAACTTCCACAGAGACGGAAGCCATATTGTTTCTCCGAGAGGAGGTCGTGAGAAGTAACATGCTTAAGCACTTCAGCGTTGATTAGAGCCTCGAATACTGTGGCAAAAAGCGATAACTGACAAATAGGGCGATAATTTGAGGGTTAAGAATTCTTAAAAACGGGAACTAGATAGGATGAACTGTCAGCTGTATACAACCACTTCCTAAAATCAATGGTGAAAAAAGACATTGAGTGAGTGAAGCCTGGGGGACTTGGCAAAGATCATTCCTCTTTGAACATTATGGGATGGCGCTACAGACACACAAATAACTGTACGAAATGACAGAAACCACATCACTTGAAGACTACCAACAGCAGCAACAGCTAAAACGGATAACTCGTACTCGAAGAGAAAATAACGACATAATCAAGATGTTAACATTCCACACTATTTCAAATACAAGGTTAGGAAGGAAACTGCTATCAATAATGTAAAGAATGATAACAGTTACTGGACTTGAGAAACCTGTTTTCCTATAAAAATGTTTTAAGGGAAAGATTTTCTAAACTTAAGCCGAAAGCAGTACTGACCAAATGTTTCGTTGTAGAGAAATTGCTAATAGTACCATTACCTTTACCAAACCGGTTAATGTGCAATGTAACAACTGCACTCAGTTCGCATTAAAAATTTTCCAAAATATTTACATTTATGTGTAATTGTACATGCTCCATTCGAACATGGCTTGATTAATTTGATAAAATCTACGGTTTGGGAGTTATCGACAGTAAAATCTCGGATTCATTCGCGTCGCGGGAAGCCATTACTGACGTTGTTTGCGTACATTTGCTGCAGAATAGTTATCATTGCGCAAACTGAGTGTGTCTACGTCAATAGTTCTCGTGCGCAGTAATTGAGACAAATTTAGACAAGAAAGATCAGTTCCGAGCTTAGCTTTCCGCAGCGAATGTATGCAAACAACGTGAGTAATGGCTGCTGCCAATGACGTGATTGAATTTTAAATTTTACTGTTGATAACTCCAAAACGGTAGATTTTATAAAATTTATCAAACGAGATTCGAATGGAGCATGTACAATTAGACATAAATGTAAACATTCTGGAAATTTCTAAGCGAACTGAGCTTGTGTGTTACATTGCAAATTAACCACCAAACCTAGTTTATAAACTTACAATCTATAAATACATTTCAATTATACTAAGCCTTGCTTATCGTATTTTATAAACTTATAATCTATAAATACACTTAAATTATAGTAAACATAGACTTCCAATCAAGAAATACACATGAAGGTCCTTTTAAACGGGCTCGCTTCCAGATCATTTCACACAAACTTGGGTGTCCTCCATAAGGCTCTATGCTGAGCCCTACACTGTTCCTGATCTTCATCAATGATAGTCCTGATGTCATCAGTTCCCAAGTAGGCATTTATGCAGATGACACTACCATTTACTCCTGCCTCAATAGCAAATCCGTCTGAGCTGACAAAGTTAACCTGGCTGCTGTTCTCGATAAGTACCTGCAATCAGTGATTAAATGAGCAGGAAATGGCTTGTAAATTTTAATGTCTCCAAAACTAAACTGCTCTCATCTAACCACGATAGAGAAACTTCCATGCCCGCCATCAGCATGGCTGACGCTCGACACCTAGAGAAAGTCTCACTGTGCCTTCTTGGCCTTACGTTTTCAAATAATTCGAAGTAGAACTACATTGAATCAATTGCTGCATCCACTGCAAGGAAAGTTAGTTCATTGCGTTGTGCCAGAAGGTTTTTCTCGTCAGAGTCCATATTGCATATTTACAAATCTACGATTAGTCTGTGCATTGAATGCTGCTGCCATACCTGGTCTGGTGCCCCTGCTGTTCATCTGAAGGATCTTGACAAAATCCAAAGAAGGATCTGCAATGTAATCGATCCTGACTTGGCATCTCGATTTCCGTTACTTTCTCACAGACGTAATGTGGCTTCCCTCTGTCTTTTCTACAAATATTTTCATGGTAACTGCTATGATTAGCTTTTTTCCCCTGGTGCCCCAACTACATGAATTTAAGTGTGCTACTAGATTGGCATCTAGGTCCCACCCTTTTCCTGTTGAAATAGTTAAATGCAATCGCCACTCCTACTCGAACAGTTTCTTTTTTCGCACTTCCCGAGAATGGAATACCCTTCTGTTTACATGCTTCACTGAAAACTACAATCTTCAAAAATGTACATGCTACGGCAATCGCCATCTTGTTTTTTTGAACCCCGTTCTTTTATCCTTTCCTCAACACCCCCTATACCCAATTTCTTCTTTCACTTTCTCTCTCTGTAACCCTCTGCATACTAGTGACATTTCCGCCTTGATTGGGGTGAAATGACAAAAACACTACAATTTCCATGAAAACCTTGTTTAGACTGATGATCACTAATTGGAGCGTGATAGATCAATTCACATACAAACTTAAGCAGATAAATTATATATGAGAGTTTGAAGAGAATATCCAGAGAGTGAGAGTAAGCTTTTTTTAGCGCTTAAAGAATGCTTAGGAAGGTCTGCAATCTGCTGTTTTTTCAGAAAAAGAATTCCATGAATTTGTAAAGCAGTAATTAAGACAGGAGGTGATTTTAGTGACGGCAAACAAAATATGATGCTGTTGTATGATAATGTTTTGGTAGTGAAGTGCTTATTTTTGTTAAAATAGAAACAAATATAATGTAATTATTAAAATTTTATCTTTTACTTTTTAAATTTCATTTTCAGGTGATTTTCAAAGAAATGCAGGGTGGCTGCAATCTTTTTACCTGTAGTGGAGTTCGATCCTCAGTTGCGCTCAACTGGAAGTCACGGTTCGTAAACAATTTGTTTTCCAAAATTGTTAACAAAATTAATATCAGTTAATACTTACCTGGTATTCCATCGATGGTTTCAGTCGATAGTATAGCATTTCTTGGTGAAACACTGACATAAGGCTACCTCCAATCGGGGGTATAATCCACACCCAGTCAGCTGGACATCCGTTTCGCACCTGGTATTCTTTTTCCCAGTGTTGATGGAAGGCTTCTGCAGCCGTGTAGTGGTCAGTCATTGTCATGTTTGTTTTCTAAACAAGATCGGTAATGGAATAAAGAGAAGCACTTGAAAACAATTTCGCTGTATTTCTTTTTGCATCAATTGTGCATTTAAAAATACATTAAAGTATTCTTATTCTTTGACTTTACGATTTGATTCTGTTAAAACTTACAATAGTTTACGTGTTTTTGAAATTAGGCGTACCTATCTTTGGTGAAGAGAAGAAAATACGAAGATCTTTAATTTATATATATATATATATATATAGAGAGAGAGAGATAGATAGATAATATTAGTGGAAAATATACATACGTATAGAAAATATATAAATACCCATACATGTATATTTTCAGAAAAAAATTCCAAGAGGAAGAATCCAGGTAGAACTCAATGTCTACGATAGAGTAAGGATATAATTAGTGTGTAAGCCTTTTTATTATATATATATATATATATATATATATATATATATATGTGTGTGTGTGTGTGTGTGTGTGATTGTGTGTGTGTGTGTGTGTGTGTGTGTGTATGAGAGAGAGAGAGAGAGAACCTACAATTTACCTCTATCAACTAAAAATTTACGCGATTCTGAGTTACCCTTGAGAAAATTCTGGTTGAAAACACTAAAATTCTATATAAATGACATTACCGGAAACATCTCACTATTAGCGAGATGTATATTAATGTATTATTATGTATATTAAACATATCTCTCTTGCTATTGACATCACCTTATTTAACAGTAAATGGAGTGTTAAACTTTTTTTTTAAATAGAAAGATGCTCATGCGAATTACAGCCATGCTCAACATGCAAAGGTTCGGAATAAACGCTACTATTTAAAACAACAGAAAAATAAAATACAACTTAAATAGTCAAAACTTGAGGAAAAAGTAACAACATAAAAAAAACTCCCTTGAAAATGGTTAAAGAAATGTCCAAAAAGCGCTTGCAACAAAGCAAATTATGGAGAATTTCTGTACTCCCTTGATCCTATAAAACGGAAAAACGTAAGGATGCTGGAAAAACTAAATAAAAAAATAATTAAATCTTCTATGTCTGCCATACACAATGAAAGATGTTTAAAAGAAAGGTTGCTGCCCATATATATATATATGATCGAAATAAAAGTATAAAATTTAATATTACAAGACATATTAAAACAATATTAAATAATAAAAAAAAAACAAAAAAAAACTCAACAACAAGGGCGGGGGGAAGCAACCGGTTTCGCTCCCGCTCGTCAGGCTTCCACGGGAGATTCAATATTAAAACAGAGAAATGTACAATGTGAATAGGTGGAAAAAAAAATTACGCATATATATATATATATATATGTTTGTATATGCAAGAAGGAACTAGAGGCAGATGACAGCGAGTCCCAACAAACACTCACGTTGTTTGCACAAAGAAGGCTTGCGGGACCCGATGTAAAGTGCCTTAGTGTTGACTGGTTCACCGTGTTGGCCCGGTCACACTCTGTATTTCACCTGAAGGTTCTGAGGCACACACACACACACACACACACACATATATATATATATATATATATATATATATATATATATATATATACAAATTCCCTCAAATCTTTAAAAACACTCCCCTCTAACTTTGAGCTCCGATATATGGACGAGTTTAATATACCAATAATTCTGAATTATCTCTCTTTCATCTTACTAAAGTTAACTCTTGATTGTTTTTTTCACGTTTTCGTTAATTTCCGTATATTCCCGTTGAATCAAGCTTAGGCCATGTGACCATCAGGATGTAGGTCAGCTCATCGGTTTCCCACCTCTCTCCCCCCTACCCAGACTCTTCTACCTTCATAATATAAATCCTGTAACGGTGCCTTCTTCTGCCATATCTCCCACTAAGTCCCCTATGACGCCCTTCCGGTCTCTCTTTCTTCCCCCAACTAACCAGTATCCCGCTACAAATTGATACCATAAAAAGTTTGAAAAATCCTGCGAATTTTAAAATTAAAATTCGTGCGTAAAAATGGTCATTAACTAAGAAGGTATCTTAATTCCAATTGTAAAGATATTTTATATATATATATATATATATATATATATATATATATATATATATATGTAAGCAAATATATGGATATAGATCCGATAGTATGAAGAAAAATATATACGGAAAAAAACAAACAAAAAATCCTTATATAAATTATGCTGACTTTATAAAAATATGTTATCGTTTGGACGTTTCGGTCTAATACATCATCTTTGTCATGTTGTATTGATAATGTTATAATCAATACAATATGTCCTGAAGATGGTTTATAAGAACAAACGTCCGACTTATAAAACTAACAGTTAAAACAGCATAATTGTATATATACATCGTCTTTGTTTGTTTTTCCGTATATATTTTTTCATTTCATATATATATATATATATATATATATATGTGTGTGTGTGTGTGTGTGTGTGTGGTGTAAGAAAAAACAGTGCACAATGTTAAGTAATAAAGCTATTTAATAAATTTAATGCATTAAAATATGCATAATATCCTACACTGATCACACACCTATGAGTTTCATACTGCTTAGATGAAGGTATTTCCATTATGATCATAGAATGGGGCTTTCGTGGTACAGGCGAGAAGGAGTTTCTGAAGAGTTTGCTGGTTGGATTTGGGGAGGAGGGATTGACGGGTGTTTGTAGATGCAGTAATTATGTTGATTGTTTTTTGTTTTTTTTTAACTGGGACGTTGGAAAAAAGATTGAAGTTAGTGTCCTACCTGTGGGATTTTTTTTGCTTTAAGATATGAAGTAATTCCTCTGTTTTCCTTGTACGTCATATTTAACGATATATATATATATATATATATATATATATATATATACACACACACACATTATATATATATATATATATATATATATATATATATATATATATATATATATATATATATATATATATATATATATATATATATATATATCGATTTGTCAGGAAGGAGACTTCCTGATGTTATCGAACTGGAGTGGTCGATCCCAGTGTGCGGTACCTTTGGAAAGTGCCTGAAAACCATACTACAGGTTGACCCAAGCCTTGTGAAAGAAACTGAGGGCCGTCGATGGCTGTGCTAGCACGAAGCACAAGCCATCGTGGCCGAGTGTTTGAGCGTGCTGGCCTTGTTCAAATTGTTGATCATGCTAGATAATACGCTCTTTCCTAGAAACTTTAACTAAGGTCTGCTCAGCATAGTTGCAATATAAACCACAGGTTGGCTCTGTGGGTGTTGAACAAACACAAATGCGTCTGAGCAAGCGTCTGCAATAGGGATTGGCTTGCCGCCTTAGTAGACTGGTATCCTCGAATACGAGTGACCAGATATACATGCATGCATCACACGCTATGAATAATAAGCAAAGAGAAATACTAGCAAAGGAAAACAAAGCCACTTAATTGAATGTCACAATATTTCACAGAACATGTCGAATGTCTATCACACGCGCTGGAAGGGACAAAGAAGAGGACGTGTATCTCGTTTGCCTGCCAGTTGATAACTGATTGTCGCTGGCTTAATTTTCCCGCTCGTTCAGGTTTGTCGTATGATACTTTACATGTAAGGCCAGATAGTTATTTTAACAAAGGTTTTTAGATACTTACATTATAACTGTGAAGTATAGCGATGTTCACTTCTAGGACTGCTTTTTCCCTCCACTGTGAAGAGTTTTTCTTGACATCCAAACCCATTTTTTCTGCAATCATCTACAAAAGATAAATATCACAATACAGAGGCATGAGATATGAAAAATTCCGAAACATTTTTATAACAAAATAACCAATGGTACATTTTATAGTGGAATTATCAACAACTAGCAGCATGGCCCGGTGTTGCCCGTGCTTGATTCAAAAATCGTACGACTCATACAGCAATCGCTATCACTTGACTTAAAATATTTTTGCCCTTCCTTGCCTTTAAAGGAGTGCCCTTTTCCGTGCTGATGTTGCTACATGCCTTACTTCTTGCCTATCTCACACTGCGAATTTTTCTAAGCTCTATACTAGACATTAAATCTGTTATGAAAAAAGAACTAAACAAAATGAACACAAAACGATCAGCTTTAAAAAAGGACTCGTAACTGGAAAAACCGAATGAAAAAAGAATGTTAACAACAAATGCTTTTTCACACCCAACCCAGTTCTGCGGAATCAGAATCAACGTTGAGTTTAAGCAAGCGAATGAGCCAATTGGAGTAAAGTGTCATGCAGATTTAAATTTTTCCCACTTGTGACGAATGCAGCTATCAATTTTTTTTTATATGCTAGCATGCTAGTTAACATTCGTGTCAGTCAGCTGTTGGCTCTCACGCTGGCCAATAGAATCTTCCTGCCTATTCGTGGCAGCCAGCTATAGGCTCTCACTCTGGCCAGTAGAAAATGGCCGCAAACTACATGAAAACTGCTGTAGAAGCATGAAAAAACCGATTATTTCCACTATCGATGGGAGTTGGGAAATGTAAAGTCGGTCTTGACCTTCCCCGCCAACTTGGAGCATGTGCATGTAAATTTTGATGCAAATCCGTCGAAAATTGCATTCGTTACACACACACACACACACACACACACACACACACACACACACACACACACACACACACACACACATCCTGCCTTTTATAGATAAAGATACATTTTATAATAAAAAAAAAACAATACATTTTTATCAATCTTTTGGCAAAATTGCAATCAATAAACTCTAAAAAAGACTAAAAATTCATGTTATAGTAAAATTACCAGCAATACGTGTTTATGAAAAAAATTACCAACAATATATTTTTATAGTGAAATTACCAGCAATATTTTTTTTTAAATTACGAAACAATACATTTTATCATCTGCAAACTATATATCTAAAAACCATACGTGGTTGTTATCGTTCTCTTTGCACTATTAAACTTGGAAATGGCATAACTCCATTTCTTATCCCTTAAACGACGAAAGAAATAGTATGACAAACTGGAATCTTTAGCTTTGATAAAAGAACTTCAAAACTATTCTGAAGAGAAATATGCTTCTTTGTGGTACTACTGGGTTTAATTCTACCCAACACCCTAAATTTCAGAAGTCTAAAAGAGTTTTGTTAAACTATTCCTTGTTTTTAACAAGTTCTTAATTTTATTTTGTTACACAAACAATTGCATATTTAAAATATTTTCTGATAACAAATCACGTTAAAATGCATATGCAGTGTAACCCGGATATAAGAGAAACCCGGATATAAGTGACTTCTTCTCCGGTCCCGACAACTCTCTTACATCCGGGTGACACTGTATTCGTTTGTTCTTTACTCATTTTTTTTTTGCAAAAATATTAAAAAAATCTGTTTCGTCAATCTGTTTAATAAAAAAAAAAACCGGGAAGAGTAAGGTTTACCCCCGGCTTTTTGGACAGAAGTAAAGGTTTATCCCTTTTTCCCTGTTTAGGATTGGGTTTTTCGGTTCCTTCTAAAGTCTTTACATTTTGTTTCACTCCCAGTAGCACTTGAGTTTTAGTGGCATTATCGCCTCTCCTGGGGTGAACTAATTAAAATAGAAAAAAAAAAAAAAAAAAAAAAGGACAATCCTGATTTGTGAAAACATCAGCAGCATGCGTTACTATAGTATTATCAATGACGTGGACCCAGTTTCAAACATGATATTTGTATATATATATATATATATATATATATATATATATATTTTTTTTCTAAAAGTAATTTGTTTTTATTTATTAATCCGACAGATTTCATCACTTTAAACAACATTTTAGTGTTTCTGAGTAGACGCTCCGTTTATTTATTAAATAGTATATTTATTTATTTTCGTCTGCCGCCCGGAATATTCGAGGGATCATAATTAAAATAAACAGGCGCTCTCCGCCTGGATTCAAATCTGTGTCTCCTCTGTGCAAACGGAAGCGTCGTTTGTTTCGACATGCTCTAGACAGACTGAGCTACATAGAATTTAACCGATAAGGCAAGGCTGAATAGTGGCTTTAAGCAAAATTCCGTCCGTCAATATATATATATATATATATATATATATATATATATATATATATATATGAAATGGACAAAGTTCGACAATTATTTTAAGACATTTTTTTTATGTTTATACCTTTTTTTTTTATAGATACAAATATTTAAATAAATGCTCTGTTTATAATAAACAGTATTACTGACACTTAACGGCCTGGATGTCCGAGAAATTTTCATAGAAAATATGCGCCCTCCGACAGGGATCCAACCTGTATCCTATACGGAGCCTGACGTACTTTACCCATTAAAAGAACGTATAAACATAAAAATGACTTAAAATAATGGTCGGACATTGTTTATTCCATAATGTTTGACATCATTTGTTTACATTTAGATACGCATCGAGCAAATATGAATGTAGGAGAGAAAATCATGGTGAATTGTAGTTTAAAAACAGTAAAATCGACCTTGCTAACCAAAACGATCCTCTGTGGCTAAATCGATAAAGCACGTCAGGCTATATGACCGTCCCTTATAGGATACCGATTCGATTCCTGTCGGAGGACGCATATTTTCTATGACAATGTCGCGGTCAGGCTGGTAAATGTCGTTAATACTGTTTATTATAAACAGAGCATTTACTTAAATATTTGTATCTATAAAAAGAAAGTACAAACATAAAAAAATGTCTTAATATATATATATATATATATATATATATATATATGTGTGTGTGTGTGTGTGTGTGTGTGTGTGTGTGTGTGTGTGTGTGTGTATAAAAACATAAGTATATATAAAATCCAGATAATACTTTTAAATGGCAAGAATCGATTTGACACAGCATTTATGCACCTTCTAAAATGATAAAAAAAAATATCAATGTTTTCGATTCTGATAATCATCATGTTTTGGGGAATGGTCTAATAAATTTAAATTACAAAATTGTTTCCGTATTTATGACCAACGGATCAGTTAACGTCAGGACTGTCGCTCTTATAGAAACACCAATTATCAGTTTTATACTTACAGGGACGATGTTATAGCGCTGAGTGTCGCAAAGATTCCTGGTCCCGACTTCTGTATCCATAAGCCAACCGGTAAATGGCGCTGCTGTGAATTCCAATCCGCCACAGTCAAAGAGCATGTTGGAGATTCCAGCTACGACGTACCATCTGAGACCAAGTTCTTTGAACCAAGTGTATCTAAAACAAGTAATTTAAAAAAAAAAATATAAACTCATTCTTTTATTATTATTATTATTATTATTATTATTATTATTATTATTGTGCTTGTCCATCCATTAGTTAGTTCACACGACCGTTGAGCCCAGTCAATATCTCATAGATAATGATCTATTCCACTTTGATCGCGTGGAAAGAGAGGAAATACAGTCTTTGATTGCACTGAGAAAATAAAAGAAAAAAAGAAAAATGAAAGTTTTAACGTCTGTTTCAGTGAACTGGAAAAGGTTTTCGATTTTGTATCTTTTCATTTGTACCCACTTCTTAAAATAACGACTAACATTCATATTTATTGTCGTAGAACTCGCCATGATCTTTATTTAATCATTAATTTAAGAATTAAGATGCATCAGAATATTAAAATAGGAAAGCCGTGAAATTCTCACGGCTTTTTTGAGTTATTATTATTATTGTTGTAATGTCAAAAGTAAGCAGCTGTAGCCGTTAAGAAAGCTTTATTTAACTGAGAATACAAGTTTCGTGTACAGTGTCCTTTTATAGTCCCAGTAAACAGAAATAGCTCTCTCAAAGAGGAGAGTAACGAAACAAGGGGCGGTCATCCTTGATTATTCATAACAATTATTATTATTATTATTATTACTACTACTACTACTACTACTATTACAGTTACACAGTTCCATATCCGAAATCCGTTGGGCTAGTTATGTTTCGGTTTTCCGATTGTTTATATTTAAACAATATAGCATCATAAACGCGTGACTACTCACCCCACGGAGGATAAAAAAAAATAGACTTCAAATATCATTACAGTTTATTTATGGAGTAATATACTGATAAATGAAATGGAGGAATAATTAATATACCATAAGTAGTGAATAAATTTTATCTCAGACGAAAAATGCCTTGTATCATTTAAAAATGAATAGCATCAAACGATAAACTAAAAATATATGTTGGGCTTTCTTGCCTTTCCGTCGCTCACTAAAATATACGTACGGCACCTGCCTGCCTGTCGCTCAATACTATCACTTATTCGACAGTAGTGTGAGATGGTTTCCAAAGTGTGGAGTAAAGTAAAACTACAGACAGCAGGCACTGCCGTATGTAATGTTTTCCTATCGTTCATTAGTTTATGATCATCACTTTTACTATAAAATTTAAGTAACTTGCCTTTTTGCTTCTTTAAATTGGTTGTCCCGACGCCATATTTATTAGTCAGATGCCGAACAGGAACACCGCGATCAAGCTTCTGCAAAAATCTACTTTTGGTGTTATTTATAAAGAGAGATGCTTCCTTTTTCTTACTGTGACCCATAAGGGTATCGGCAGTTCTTTTTGACATTTTCACTGTATAAAATCACAAAAATTACAACAAGAGAAAAAAAATCAGCAAACAGCACATTCACGTCTACCTAATACGTGCTCTTGACAACAACTGACAGTTGGCCAGCTCAGGTCACTCAGTCAGACTGGGGGAATAGTGGGCGGAGTCGGGCCAATCATGACACCTGTTGCTACGTCATATTTAAGTGACGTGGGTCAAGTAGGCAAGCATTTTATGCGACAAACTCCACACTAAAAATATTCGATTTTCAGTGGTTTTCAGATGTTCGCATATGGGATTGTCAGCCAGCATTATTATTATTATTATTATTATTATTATAATTTTTATTTTTATTTCCTTTGATTTCTGGTGTATACTCATTTTTTCCGAGTCCTAACTAGAGACCTAAAGCCAGCAATGGCATCATAACATTTTCTACTGAGCCAAAAAATAAAAAAAACTAAGATCACACACATTTTACATAGATAAAGTCATTCATAAAGTATGAGTTGTATTCGTGAGTTCAATTATTTTTTTTTTTTTTTTGCATTACTTTAAGGCGTTTGAAGGCCAACTACCAGGGATCCTTCAATGAACCTATCGGATTATTTTCCAATCAATACGAGGGCTCCAACTACAACTGGGGCTGTTGATGTCCTCACGTACCACATTTTTGAGATTTCGATTGCAAGTTCCTTGCGACGTCTAGGCGATTAGCTTTGATTGTTCTGTCTGTGTGTATTGTATTATTATTATTATTATTATTTTTATTATTATTATTATTATTATTATTATTATTATTATTATTATTATTATTTTATGAGTTTTTCCTTTCATCGTATGTTTGTTGCTTCGGTTATCACAATAACTATAAAAGTGCTTCAAATACATCATGCCAGGAAGAATTTAGGCCCCAGAGAATCGGAGAGTGCATATCCAAGCTACAAAAAATGTGTACCCCTGTTTAAATTTAAATGAAAAAAATAAACAAACTACGCTCCGAAGGTACACTGGAATAGCAAAAGGTGTCTGATAAAAGCTAAGCAAAGTATGAAGAAACAGGAAAATTTCAAAAGAAACAAAGAAAAGAGTGTTGAATTGCTATGCAATATCAGTTTTGGCAATCCCCTCACAAAAGAAGAGAGTTTATTCAACAGAAATGTGGCTCTACAGAAGGATACTGAGAATACCATGGAGTGAATATGTGAACAACGAGAACGTTTGAAGGATGGTAAAAACTAAAAATACTTATACTTAAAATCATAAAAATACATTTGGAATTTCTGGGATACTCAATGAGGAAAAAAAGCTTTGGAAATTTGACATTCACAGGACATATTGGCGGCAAGAGGGACAGAGTAAAGCTGCGCCTAATGAGCCTGTGTAGATGGATGACACAACAGTGATTGGGAGAGATAGGAAAAAGAGTACGAGAGGAGAGGAGCTATAATCATTCACGTCTGAAGAGACACGACAGAGAAGAAAAATAATTTATACTTACTTTGGATGTTCCAACAACACTTCCAAAATAAGATCTTCGGGCAGTTCGTATAATTCGGGATCCTGTCCGTTGGCTGATAAAAGAAGAGGAAGCACATCGAAAGGTCCGCCTTTACCTTTCCATCCAAGTTTTAGGCACACCTGAAAATAAAAAGAAAGCGAACAAGTTATAGATAAAAATCAATTTTCTGTCATATTTTTGATCCCATTGTATAGAACTATTTAGATATGTTAGCCGAGTAAAGACGTCTTTTAATGCAACGCCCGGGGCATCCGGGTCACCCGGACGCACTAATGTGACCTGAAAAGTGTGCCCCAAGGTAACAGAAATATAATTTATGAATTATTTTTTTTAAATCTTTATTTTTAAAAGCTGGAGACAATGTAATGTCTAAAGAAAAAAAAAAATATAATGCTTATTTCAGGAGACTTTTTTTTAATTATTTTCCTATTTTTCATACTTTACGAGTAATTCACGTTGAAATTATCACAGTATTTAGTATTGTTGAAGTTATCGCTAACTTTTTTTTTTTTTTTTTTTGTCGAAATTTACAAACTCTACGTTTCGTTCAATTTCGCAAACCAATCGGGGAAATTTGAATAAGATGATTTGTTTAGAAAATACTTTGACAAAACCCCTACTTTTACACACCCTACTAAAACCAAGTGTAATTTGTACCCTCTTACCTGCTGCATTTCTCACCAAAATTTGGTTTCGATCGGTCAATGTATGGCTATTTTAGAGGGTGTGACGGACGGACTTACGGAAGTCACAGAATCTTATATATAGATTAAAATTTAAAGTGCGCCACATATGTTTAGTTATTCAATAAATCCGCCCTGAAGCTAAAAAAAAGGTAGATAAACACTGTTTTAGCCAATTTAGTATCATTAGATTCCATTTTGGCGTATAGGGCCAGAATCTCACCACACTAAGTGTTATTACTGTGGTTTTTCTAGCAAGTTGCCACATTGAACCTTCACTCGATTAGTTGTCGACCATAGCTAGAGAGTCCCACTGTGATGCTATTTAATCCATAGCTGCGGAAGGGGAGATAGAAGAGATGGATTCATGCCTTTCTTTTAAGAAGACGAAGTTTTATTAAGAACCGAACGGTTAAAAGGATAATGGTTAACTTTGGAGGTGAGACCAGCAGGATAAAATTACTGATGGTGTCATTCTTTTATTGTGAGGGGTTCCCTGTGATATACTAAGGGATGAAAAACGATGACGAATCTAAAAAGTATCTAAACTAAAAAAAAAGAAGAAACAAACAAAAGGCAAGTAAAACAATACAGTTTTCTGTGGTAGCAGAATGCTGTTGCTTCTGCTGTCTTTTGTGGCACGGAAGGGCGAAAACTTCTGTACCCAAACCGGCCATTCGACCATGCCTCCAATTAGCAGGAGGACGCCACCACTGCTGGCGATGGGTCTGATCATTTTAGTAGTCATAAAGTAACGTTTTGTACGTGTTGACGTCCACATTTTTTCATTGTCCAATTCAGTATATCGTAACTAACCTATCTGAAATTTCCTAATTTAAAAATGAATGAAAATGAAAATAATAGAAAAAATAAAATAGAAAATTATCAAAGAAAATATGTAATTGTATAAAAATTATCTTTTCATTTTATAACGTGATCATCGACCTAGTTGAATCGAGTGTAATGGAGAGAATTATTATAATAATATTGATTATACGAGTACGAAACTGTAACTTGTCATTCTGGAATTCAGATTTTACAATTATCATTATTACTAGCCTAGAAGCTAACCTTCGGGCGGATTTTAGGCTAGTTCCCGTGAAGGGCTTTTTGGTCTTAAGCCATTTACCTCCAGCGTCCTATGTACGTAAAAGTTATAAGAATTTAGAAATAATTATTTTATCTTTATGCGTCACCTTAATTCGGCATAATCTTTCTTCGTATACGCAACCGATCTCCGTAGTTTGTCTACATTTATTTTGCGCGCAATTTTTATTTTCTTTTAAAATCACCATTTTTTATGATCCTTTCATATAAAGTCACGCTTAAACGACATTAGGAGACCCGAACTATGTAATATTTCGAATACGTCACAGCACGCGTGCTAAGAAAAAAACATATGAGCAATGTACCGTGCCTCGCTTAAATTTTAAATATGGCTTAATGGACGATATCAATTGCAATTGCGACGAAAAGCGAAATTAAAGTTAAACCTTTAATAAAGAATTGATTTTTAAACGTTTCACTCTGTTCTATATTTAAATTTAACTTTAAATGAGTTATCTATTTAATTTTTAATTACGTGTAACTACAGTAGTTACTACTTGTTACTTCAGATTGTTTATGATTCATCGAGATCGAAAAACGGACTGACTGACGGACACACGTACACTGCGCTAGATTATTTCTATCATTGTTAACATTAGTAGTAAAAATAGGTCTAATTTTTCTGATTTCGTTTTTTTATGTTTGGACATTACAAAAGTAAAATAAACGTTATATTTCAGCAGTTAGAATAGCAACCTTGAAGAAGAGGAGATATTGGTATCAATACAATGCCTTATATAATATTGATCAATATCAATTTGTTCTTTATTATGCTTTTTTACTTTTTTTTATATTGTTTAGAGTTGCATCAAGCAAATATAGGGATTTATTTGTTTTTTTGTCCCAATCAATCTGTTTTAAATTGTATGATATAGAATGATTTGTTGACGTGAATGAATTTTAGGGAAATTCAGCTCTTTTTGTATTAACAATACACTGTTACTTGTGCTCTCTTTTGTGATAGGTAAAGGTGAAAAATTCTGACAGATTTGAATACTTTGACAGAAATAAAAATATTTTAGTAGCAACCAAAAAAAAACAAAAAAAAAGAACAGGGTTCGATTATATCGAACGAAGTGCCACACTCGCACTACTCACGGGCGCGATCCCACTACTGCATGACTCGGGACACTTTTGCCTGCTGAGTTTCTGCCCTCGACCGGGTCGGCGCTGGTTACTCAACCTGATCAGCTGAAGCTCCCTCCAGCTAGCCATATTGATATCAGGATTAGTGCGTATGCCTGATCGCCATAACGCAACGTACAACAGAAACCCCCTAATTGAAGGTGTTGGAGATGATCATTGCATTTTGGATTGAGCAGGTAGACATATGTACTAGTAGGAGTCAGTTTTTTTCCCACTCTCCGTAACCCAGGAGAGAGTGGTCGAGAATTTTCACGATCATGCCACCTCGCTACTCTGGTTTGAATCCCCAGGAATATTAGGTTTGGGGCATCGTCGAAAACAACGAACGATCCAACAACACCAGGGTCTCATTGAAGGCAGCCATCTTGAAAGAGAAACATTTAATCCAGGCCTGCAGTCATTTCAGACGATTTAAATGAATAAACGTATTTGTTTTACATAAATCTTCTGAAAATAGAGGTTACTTCCTTACGGAATATCTTTTTTTTCTGCATTAGAAAATGTTCTCAATTACCTGGCACACGCTTCTCTCACTCACTCATTCACTCTCTCTCTCTCTCTCTCTATCTCTCTTTCTCTCTCTCTCTATTTCCTTATATATTGTTGTGCAGGTTGTGTAATGTTTGCACTATTTGCCCCATAACTAGTAGGGTGGAGAAACATATGGATTTGTGTCTGTTTTCCGATGGAATTTGTGTGAAACTGAAACGACCCAAATCAGCTCATCGATTCCACTCTGCCCGTTGATAACAATTGCGGACATCCAAATTATTATTATCATCATTATTATTATTTTTTATATTTTATTTCCTTTGTACTCTGGTTTTAATAATTTAATAAAATAATATTATTCGTATTATTATTATAATAATTATTATTGTTGTTGTTTTTAGATTTCTGTATACTCTGTTGTGTAACAACAACAATTTACATAAGCAACTACCGACCATATAAATAATTGGTACCGGAAGACAAGGGAAGATAGTATTATTATTATTATTATAATTATTATTATTATTGTTGTTGTGTACCTATTTTTGTTTGAATTTTTGTTAACGTACATTTTGTGTTGTATTATTCCATGCTTATTTATTTCTTTTCCGGGTCCTGACCAGCGACCTAAGGTCAGAAATGACATCATGACATTTTCCACTGAGCAATTTCGAAAAAAAAATCACACATATTCTATATAGATAAAGACCTTCATAAGGTATGGACTGTACTCGCGAGGACATTTTTTTTGTATTTCTTTAAGGCATGGGCTACCAGTAATCCCTTCAATGAGTCTAGCGGAACATTTTCCAATCAATCCGAGGTCTTCAACTACAACTGGAATTGTTAATGTTCTCATGTGTCACATTTTTGAGGTTTCGTTTTCAAGATCCTTGTGGTTTGATAGTTTTTTGAAGATCTTCAAAGATACATTGCAGTCTACAGGGACTTCCAAAGCAATAAGAAGGCACTTTTTCTTTTGCGGTCTCTAATCACGATGCCTGGGCGATTAGCGTTGATTGTTCTGTCTGTGTGTATTGTGAAGTTTCATAAAATTGTAACAGGTCCTATCTCCGTATCCCGGGCTGAGTGGTTTCACACCATTTTTTTGCAGTTTCTTTTCTGTAAAAGTTGAAGATTTACCATTGCAGATATTGGCCCACTCTGCTGGTTTTATATTCAGTGGGTGCCAATACCGCCCAACCTGATACAAGATGGTCATTTGTTTCTGGCTATTTATCACAGAATCTGCATTTTGATCTAACACAGTTTATCAGTATGTGTGCTTGAGAATTTTTAGTTTCCAAGCATTGGTCCTGTGCAACAAAAATAAAACCTTTGGTTCCAGCTTTTAGCCCTGCACTATGTCACCACTGATAGGTACGGGGATTATCTACATCAGCTTGTTTGGTACGGGCAGGGTATTGACTATGAAGTGGTTTATCTTGCCATCGTTTCTGTATTTGGTCGGTTGCATTTGTCTTTGCTTTCTTTTAAAAGTATTTTGCAGCTTCAGTCGGTGTATTGTGCTTTGTTTGCATTCCTTCATTTGAATCTCCATTTTGAACTTGGCTTCCTTTATTACTGAGTAAATACTACTCCTCCTCCTACTACTACTAATAATAATTACTTTCATTCTTCTTCTTCTTCTTCTTCTTCTTCTTCTTCTTCTTCTTCTTCTTCTTCTTCTTCTATGTGTGGTGTCTCTTCAGGACTCGTCACATTTTACTGTCCTTCGTAGCTCTTAATAAAATTATGTGTTATTGTTATCTCTCTTAAACCTTCTCTACCATCCATTTACCCAAGCTCTCTAGGTAGATTCTGTGTTGCTTTTCACTATTCCTCTTGCCTTCAATCTGTCCCGTGAGTATCAAATTTTCCAAGCTTTCTTTCCTCATTACGCACCCTACAAATTTTAACTATCGCTTTCTGATATTAAGTGTAAGTATCCTTTTTTGTTTCCATTTTCTCTAAAACTTCGTCGTTGCTCACATGTTCGACCCACAGCATTCTCAAAATTTTTCTGTAGAATCAACTTTCTGTTACTTCAAGTCTATTCTTCATCCTTGAGGTGAATGTCCACCATTCACTGCCATATACATGACAGTTCAGTACTTTTCTCTTTGTTTCTAACGTAATTTTTTCTGGTGAAGTTCGGAGAACACAACGGTCGAAACGTGAAACCAACAATAAAGACAAGGACAACAGTCCGCATTTAATTAGTATAACTAATATAAGTGATTCTTTAGAAACAAAGAAAAGAGTTCTGAACTGCTGTGTAATATCAATATTCGTATATAGCAGTGAATATTGGGCTGATGACGAAACAAAAGAGATCTATAACAACAAAGATGAGGAAAATAGTCCAAATGTAAATAATAACACTTCATTTCAGAAATTCAGACAGAAATCACAGTTAGCATTAACAAAGTCTCTTAATAGATAGATAGATAGATAGATAGATAGATAGATAGATGAGAAGCTTCTGAGATAGATAGATAGATAGATAGATAGATAGATAGATAGATAGATAGATAGATAACAGCAAAGATGAGAACATTAGCGTGAATGTAAATAGTGTAAATAATTATAACTCCTTATCCAAGAAATTCAGTCAGAAATCACACAGCCAGCATTAACAAAGTCATTTGATAGATAGATAGATAGATAGATAGATAGATAGATAGATAGATAGATAGATAGACAGACTGATAGATAGATAACAGCAAAGTTGAGGACTTTAGTACTAACGTAAATAATGACTAGACAGATTTCGTATCGTCAACATTAACAATATCACTTGATAGATAGGTAACAACAAAGATGAGGATATTAGTCTAAATGCAAATAATAGCAACTCGTCCCAGAAACTCAGTCTGAAATCATCGCAATATAATTTTATTATATAAAAAAAACAATATAGACCTGCTATTCACAAAATAGAGAGAAGCGCTATTAGACTTTAAAACAAATGTCAACAGGGTTTTGTCTTTCAAACGAGCTGGTCGCAAAGAATCTAACTTAATAACTTTATAACCTCCAGTTTGATTAACAGCTGTTATCAACGATAAATTGTTAACCGGAACCAATAAATTCCATAAAATGCTGTTTCTAATGATAACTTTTGAGGCAAATAATTCCATTGTGTTAAAACTAAGTGAGCCAAGCTGTTGCTTAAATCGAATTTTAGAAGGGAAAATGACATGGGGCGTCATAGCAAGTATTCGACTTGTATTTTTTTCGCTATGAACATTGAAGCATTTGGCAGATGTTGACGATATCTCACAATTGCTGTTGATTTTTAAAGAGAAGATAAAAAATGCTTTATTCTTTAAATAGTACAATCATCAAACGGACGATATAAAAAAAATATCACCTCACCTCTGTGATCTCTTTACTGATTGGATCTCCAATAATAGAACCATCTGGCTGTTCATAACCAGCATAGCGTATAATTTGGGCGTTCCATATCCGGAAATCATGGAGACCATCTGTCCGTTTAGGAAAAATAGTAATTGCGCCTCTGAAAAAAAAAGACACAGGTGTAAAATTTAAGGGTTAATTATGCATTTCCTTTAGTACTGCCAGCAATATTTATTTTCTTAATGAAACGGTGGATAGCGACTAGGATTGAGGCATCTGAGAACTGGGTTCGAATCCCAGTCGAGTTCATTGCATTCACTTACGTGCAAATACCCTTAAGAAAAGTAGGAATCCCTCTGTTCCTCAAGCTATGGGAAAATAGCAAGACGGGCTGGGAGAAGGACAAACTAGTTTAGGAGAAGGAAAAGCTTTGAATTCAAATCACCTGCCGCCTTGTAGTTATCCCTCTAACTTCTGAGAGGAGTTCTCGAGGCTTTAATCAACTCTGAATTGGTTAAGGACTTCAACTCAAAAGGTTTTCTTTCAGACAATATGACTTTCGGAGTAGCCTCGACATCCCCAGTGCAAAGGGAATCGACAATCCATTGCACTATTCCGCTTTGAATGTCACCATGAAGCAGAATTTTGAGTAAGAAGAAGTGGTGACCTCAGCGGTGCAAAATAAGCTAACTAAATGATGATGAATGGAGAAAATAACTAAAGGTAAGTGGTGGTGGGCACTGTGGAGTAATGATAAAGTCAGTGGATAATGATATCAAAAGCTAAAACCTTGTTGGTACACACACACAAATATATATATATATATATATATATATATGAGGACAAAACGTGTAGACTATATATATATATATATATATATATATATATATATATATATATATATATATATATATGAGGCAATTTTATCAAAGATAACAATTATTTTTTGTCGATTAATTTTACTGATCAACTTTTCCAAATTACGAATACTCCTTCCCAGACATCTTAGATCATATTTCGTGTACATTGCTTCCGAAATGTACTTCGGACATTTTCTAATAGAATTTCCTTCTTGTCTGAGAAATATTATTCGTAATTTGTAAAAATCGATCAATAAAATTAATCGGCATAAAATGTGTTGTATTTAATAATATTTACCTTAAAGAACATTTTCTGCCTAAAATACACAAAATATATATTTAGGCACACTGATGATCTGTTATACAGCGAGACAGTCTATCTGTGGATGACAATATATACGCCCCCGGAAAATTTAATTCCGGTTGAGCACTCTTGGGAGAAAGCGCGAATTTGTAAACAATGACTACTATTGCTAATAATGCAAAGCACTTCTATGAATTGAGCCCTATCGGTCACTGGTGTGTTTATTCAAAGAATAAGTACGTAAAAATTAGCCTTCCTCTAAACGTGGCGCTGATAGCTCAGGGATAAAATCACCGACTGATGTCAAGTTTCGAGTTTCGAGTTTCGATCCCGGCTTGAGGCAGTCGGATGTCTAGCCACACTGACGAGCTGTGATACAGCAAAACAATATGTCTGTGGATGATAATATATATATATATATATATATATATGTGTGTGTGTGTGTGTGTGTGTGTGTGTGTGTGTGTGTGTGTGTGTGTATTAAATATATGTATACGTATATATGTATGTCAAATAGAAAAATATGTGACAAAGACACCAAGGTACCAAAATATATAGTGCTCAACGTAAAATGTAAAAATCACCCGATACTGACCATAAAATATTTTAAAAAAAATAATAGTAGATATATGCATATGTGGGTAAAATAATATAATTCTGGGGAACACCCACATTAATGCAAAATGAAGTAGAAGAATAGCCATACAAAACAATTCTCATTTCTCGATTTGATTAAAAAAAATTGAATCAGATCAAAAAATCGCCCAGACTTACCATTATTTCTAAACCCTTTCAAACGTTTTCGAGATTCAAAACAACAGTCCGAGTTTGACAATTGTTATCTAAAGCTTGACAGACTCTTTCAACAATAACTTTAACACACCAGCAATTGATCTAGAGAAGCGAAAGCCATATTACTTGTCTGAAAGAAAACCTTGCGAGTTGAGATCCTTAACCAATTCGGGGTTGATTAGAGCCTCGAGAACTATGTCAAAATAAGGAAGAAGGTTAATCGGCCTATAGTTAGAAAGACCCTTAACCAATTTGGAGTTGATTAGAACCTCGAGTACTTTGTTAAAATGAGGTAGAAGGTTAATTGGCCCATAATTGGAAAGATCAGACTGTTCACCTGAGTTCTTAAAGACTGGAACTGCAGATGAGGATTTTCAACAAACAGAAAAACAAGAAGCAGCCAGATATTTATTGTACGCTTTAGAGAAACAAGAAGAAGCAGTTTAGGATCCCATTCTTAGGTACTATTGGCGGAATACCATCAAGTTCACATACTTTGTGTGAATCCAGTTTAGAGATGGTAGCAGAAACCACGAACAAAGTTATATACATACATACATACATATATATATATATATATATATATATATATATATATATATATATATATATATATATATATATATAGAGTCTCTTTGTAAGCGGAAAGTCAGGTAAAGATACACCAGATGAATCAAGAGTAGAATTGAATAGAAATTTTACTAGTAAAATTTTTTTTCTTCATCAGCAGATTATAACACCGCAAACTAAGTGAAAAGAGAAGGGATAAAAAAATTATTTAAGACACTGTTACAAAGCCGCCAGTAATCGCGAGAACAAAACATGTCAGAGGCTATCCGGAGCCTCATTCTGTCAGTGAAGAAAACTTAGCCTCCTTGAGGACATCTTTACATTTATTACGAGCAGACACAACGAGGCGTTTTTTAAGATCAGAAATATCACGTTAGTACAGTCAGAAAAAAAAAGGTATTATACTGTGGGCTATAGCCGCTGGACTGGCAGGTCTAAACCAATGCTTACCTTTCTTAGAAGATGGAGATTAAACTGGTTTGGCTATGTAATCAGAACAGGAGAAAGGAGCTTTGCGTACTGCATCCTACACGAAAAATGACGACGTCGTAGACCGCCAAAGTTATTGAACGACCTAATCAGAGAGGACACAGGGATACTACTTTTGGCGCTTGAAAGGATTGCTTTGGATAGGAAGAAACGGCAAAATAGGTTCAAATTCCTTTGGAACTATCATCGCAACATATTTTATAAATATATAAAATAAATACGTAAAAAACAAGTAAAAATAATAAATCCATATTAATAAATAAATAAAGTAAATAATAAACAAATTAACAAAACAATCCCTCCAAAATAACCGTTACAATAGACTACAACAATCAATCCAAAAATTAAACGAAAAATAGCTATAATTGCTATATAACGATAAAAAATTACTACGTTGCTTAAAAATCGCAAAACCGAAAAAAAAATAAATAAATAAAAATATACAAAATAAAAAAAAAGTAAATAATTAAGAAAAACAAATAAAATAAATTATTCCAAATAAATAAATAAACGAACAAATCCTCTCCTCGGGGATCGCATCTGTTAAAAAGACCACGTGGAGCCCCACATCATCGTTTCAAAGATCAGTTCAAAAATACCTTGCTGAGGACAGAATTCGAGCCGGTTAACTGGGAGACGGAAGTTGCAGAAAGAGCTATTTGGAGAAGGGCATCCCCATCTTACCATACAGATCCAACATAGGACTTTCACACAGAAGGAAATGTCTATGAGCATCTCAATACTTGGCCAACGAGTTATATGATCATACATTCGGTAGTGAATATTAATTACGCAAAAGAACATTATACAGGAAGTTGTGGAGAGCCATGATCTGTCACGTTCTGAAAGGAATTGACCCTTAAAAGAAGAGTGTTATGTTAGTAAAAATAATAAATTCGTTTAAGTAAACGTAAATTAAAAATTATAAAACAACATTGTCAGTTAAAATTTCCGAGATACAGGATGAAGAAAGAGGGTTTGAAAAATTAAACACCCATAAGGCAGATCCAAAGGGGATAGTCCTCTTCAAGATCTACAGCGCTTATTCAATTGAATCCATTTTTAATCCTGGATCTGAAAAAAAAAAACGGTTGTATAAAGCTGATAATAGAGACATTTCTGGATCAGTTGAGGGAAAGAGAGAAACGCCGGGTAACCTACTTGAGGTGTTTCAGTGGGTGGATAGCAGAACGAGGACAAACAATGGCTGTAAAGGGCCAGATATTGTTTAGAGTTACAAAGGTCAGGAAGATGGGGAGAGACCACGCCCTGAAATGACGGGGCACATGAAATAAGAGGAGGAGGACCACGTAAGGACATACCTGACATTTCCGTTATTGTTCGAATAGTCCATCAACTCAAGTATATGTTCATACATTTCTTGCGTTGTTTTCACATGACGGGCATCGAAGACCTGAAAATAGGTAAAAATAAAATTATTACACACACACACACACATATATATATATAATGTGTGTGTGTGTGTATATATATATATATATATATATATATATATACAATTTTTTATATATATTATATACTATATATGCGCGATACTTATTGGAAAGCGCTCAATATCAGTGATAGAGCTAACATATTTAAAATATCTAAAAATAGGTAAAAATAAAATTATTACATATATATATATATATAAATATATATATATAATGTATATATATATATATATATATGTATATATATAAATATATAAATATATATATATATATATATATATATATATATAATGTAATATATATATATATATATATTTATATATGCAATTTATATATATATATTTTATAAGCTTTTTTTATCAAGTGATAATATCAGTAGCTATATTTAGTTGGATAGATGTGAGTTTTGTGACCCTGGGTTTCACGCTATTTGTGATCGTCAGACAGACTGATTATTTTTTTACATTTTGGATTCATATATGGTTGCATATATCGCTGTTTTTTTAATGATAGTTGTAGGAAAAATTATCGTCGGAACGCCACTCATATTTACGCAAATATACATACACGCACGTTAGTATGTCTGCGTACGTGAATAAGTGAACGTGCGTGTATGTATGTTTGCGTAAATAAGAGTGGCGTTCCGACGACAATTTTTCCTCACACTACCATAAAAAAACACCTATGTAAGTAACCATTTAAAAATTTGTCTGACGATCACAAATAGCGTGAAACACAGGATTAAAAACTCACATTAATCCAATTAAATATATTATTATTATTATTATTGTTATTGTTGTTGTTGTTGTTGTTATTATCATTATTATTATTATCTTGTAGTCGAAACTTGGACAGACGCAAACTGTCACTGTCAGAAATTCACGCTCACGGGTCTTCTGGCCAGTAATTTTCTAATCTGAACCGGCTTCCGCATTATGTAAGACATGCCTATTCATATTTCTCGTACACAAGTTTATTTCTGGGCGTGGGAACGCTAAAAAGGTTTCCCCATAGAAATTAATTAGTGTTGCTTTTCGATTTACGCCATTTCAGATATATGTCACATAGGAACGCACGACTATCGGATTGTGAGAGAAAATTTGTATCATAATTGTGTTGTTCATTACAGGTTAGTAGACGAACCTTGAGAGTCTGCCAGTGGGGTCTCAAGACAGCGAGGGGTGTTACGCCATGTTGTTTTGGCACCAAATACAAGTTCCTCATATGTTAGATCATAAGTACCCGTTTTCTCCACGGAGTCAGTCACATCCTTCATCCTCTGAAGGAACTCGGGAGTGTCATCTCTGAAAAATTAAATTCGAATAATTTTATAACATTCTAAGTTGGCATATTTTGATCGATTTACAGCCAGCAACAGTATTTTGCGACATATAAGACTGACTGGCTTATTGGAGGCATTCTAAAGTTGAGATGAAATATATTTGAAAACGCAATGTCATTTTGAAGATCAAACTTTAAGTAGAGAAGATTAAATAGAATTAACACATAGCTCTTTTTCTTTTTACTAAACTTAGATTAATTTTAGAAGTAAGTAACAAGTATAGGGCAGCCATTGAGGATCGAACTCACCACTCAGTATTAATGTTTAGTTAATAGATAGATAGATAAAAAAGACGAGGACAATCATCAGAATATAAATAATGTATATATATATATATATATATATATATATATATATATATATATATATATATATATATATATATATATATATATATATATATATATATATATATATATATATAGAGCAGGTACACCAAACCAGATATGACAGCAGTATTCAATGCACAGATGAATGGGATTCGGACAATAAAATTGTCTGGCACGACAGAATGTACCAACATTCCTCACTCATTATTTACCGTCTTCTTAATTCCTGTTCTTGTATCATTCTCTCTCTTTCATAATGGGTTTTCTTTTTCTAACATTCTTTCACACTCAGTAACCTCTTGTGACTTTATTGTCTTGCTTGATTAAAACAACATATACACCTTGATCAAAGAAGAGTTAATCTGTAGCGACCACGATATGCAATTTGCTTACCCTAAGAGATACCAAAGTAAGTTTAGTATTGAGGACCTCTGAAAATACACATTACAAAAATTCGCGGTTTCCTCTTTCATTCCCATAACTTCTTGCATTTTAATGGTAAAAAAAAAAACAAATTGTTATATACCGTACCTATGAACACTAATAAGTATGTCCCAGTCCTCATAAATACAATGGACACTATTGTAAGTGGGGGTAATATCTAAGCTGTTTGATTTGTGTTGATATTTAGTTTGTTTTGGGGGGTTCATTCCCTCCCCTCTCATTGTTCATCACTAGATTTATATATATAATAATTTATTATGATTAAATTTTTATGTCACGGGTTACGTTTTGTAGGACCCCCTTGAGAGGATGCGGCATTATGGTGTATGGAGGATTGATTGGTGATGGATCAGTTTTTATGGTGAATGCGCAAATTATAATGAGTGAATGGGTCGTGAGTCGGATTAGCTAGATATAAGATAGATAGTGAAGACCAGCCTCAACCCTTCTCCTTTTCGGCCTTGTGCCATGATTGTATTTTTTACAGTAAACATAAATATGCTCTCTAAGCTGGCAGCCTGAGCTATCAGCGTGGGAAGCAGTGTCGAACTCTCTGCCTTCGGGCAGAGAGGAACCCGGACGTGGCTTTGCCGAAGGGCAGAGTCTCGTCCAGGGAGGTAGAATGATAGCCGATCTACATGCTACTTCGTGGGGAGGCAGGTAAATATCGTAATATGCCATCAAAGTAGTCCATCACTGGCAGTGGTTTATCTACTTCACGCCGCTGGCGAGTATTGTATGTTATAAAGATTACCATTTTCATTTCCAACCTCCGTTTGGTTATTCTTCATTGAGTAACCCTTTCTAGGTTAAAATACAAACAAACAAGTAAATAACCGACACAACACAAACAAACAATTAAATATATATATTGCATTTAAATTTTTGAAGTTCAAAGTTTACTGGAAAGCAAGATGCCGGAAAAGTGTCCTGGAAACGAGAATTGCGAGGGAATAAACTGTTAGCATAGAACTTACGTTTAAATTACTAGGAATTTCAACTGTAAAATGATGAGACCTAGATGCCAATCTAGTACTGCGCTTAAATTCATAAAGTCGAGGTACGAAAGAGGAAGGTTTATCAGAACAATTGCCATATTTTTAGAAAAGACACAGGTAAGCTCCGTTACGGAGGTGGGAATGTGACTGAAGGTGAGATTCCAGGTCAAGAGAAATACCATTGCAGATTCTTCTTTGTATTTAATCTAAATTCATTGCAGAAACACCAGACCGGATGTGACACCAATATTCAAAGCAAGGACGAACTGTAGACTTGTGTAAGATAGATTCTGGTAAGAAAAATTGTCGAGCAGTGAACCGAAGATGCCATATCGTCTGTGGAGGGTCGGTATGCCGTTTGCGGTGACGTTCCTCGAGGATGTAAGTTACTCTTGTGGACTGGGCATTTATATAATGTTCTGTTTTCCAGTGGTCTTGGGTGTTCAATTGAGCCTTCAGAATCACGCAAAGACAAAACGAAGCAAAAAACGGAGGATTTGCTTTCTCAAGTATACTAACTTAATAAATATGAAGCCTTCTACTTACTTGCCAATAGACGAATAATATTCTTCCATGAACTTCTGCGCATGCGACAGTACCTCATCTTTGGAACGCGGTGTTGTATCAGGACGTTCGAAAGGCGGAAAAAATTTCGATCCTAAACAATGATTTGACGAACATTCCATTGGCTGGGAAAAATAGTACAAATTAGGAATATAACTTTTAATATTAATATATTAATTTAATACCAACGATTGATTTTTTTATGGTTTATTAACTTTTTTTTTTTTGCTGATTATATAAAGCCAGGAACAATTTTAGATATTAAGAATTTTTTGAGATAATAATGATTTACTGATGCAGGTCTTACTAATTAGCCCATACCTGGGGGGAAGTGGTAGATTCATACCTTTTCTCAAGTACATAATTGCACATAACTGAATGTAACGAACCTGACTGGAATTGGAACTTGGCTCTCCGACTTCCAATTCACAGGCGTTATCTATTACCCTATTCACATATCGAAGCTTGCAGCACCAAGCGGTCACCCATCTAGATACTGACCAGGCTCAGCGTTGCTTAGCTTCGGTGATCGTATGGGAACTGGTGTCAATAACAATAGCAGCAGACGAAATATAAGGCAGAGATGTTATGTTGGATGAATCTTACAAGTAAGGAAAGTCTACATGACTTGAATATCAGCATTTAAAAATTCAGGTTTTGAGTTGGTGCACTAACCACTTTTCACCGGTAGGAGATACACAGCTACCCACCACCATATATATATATATATATATATATTATTTGATTAATGAATGATTCATTAATATATATATATATATATATATATATATATATATATATATATATATATAAATGAATCATTCATACAAAAAAAAGTAGATTAGTAAAGTTAATGATATAAAATGGTGAAATCCCTTGACTAACAAAATTTTAAAGGTGCATTAACCTACCAATCACTCGATGAATGTTATGATCCTTACTTTTTAAAATTATAATTGTATAAGGTTTTTCTTAAATGCGCAAGTACCTTCGACTGTACATTCATATATATAAATATATATATGTGTGTGTGTGTGTGTGTGTGTGTGTATGTGAGCCAAATATGGATCGGAATCCGACAGGATTATTAGATAAAGAACAAATAAAGTAAATAGATAAATAAATGTCCAGTAACATACCTTCTAGATTAGAGTTAATGAGTAACATAAAAAAAATGTCATTAACAGATATGATATATCTTAATTCAAAAGATTTACCTTATCTCTGATATGCAGATCTGTGTCAGCGAATCACGAGCTAGGAGATAATATTATTTAACTATTTATGAGAATTCTACTCGAGTTTGTTAAGGTATGAATTCATCGCTACTCTCTCCACCATCAGTTATGGGTAAATAGCAAGGCAGATTAGGCTCTATAGCCTTGATTGGTAAGCAGTCTAGAAGAAGAAAAAATCTGAATTTAAAAGCGAATTAAAGTCATTCATTATACCTTGTAGCACACTTTGTTTGAGTTGATACCCACTAAAAATATTGTTTATAGTAATAAGAAATAATACTGAACAAAAATCATTTTATGACACACACACACACACACACACACACACATATATATATATATATATATATATATATGTGTGTGTGTGTGTGTGTGTATATATGTGTGTGTGTGTGAATTTGGGCAGCAATCCTCTTTTTATACGAGTTTCAATAAAAACGAATGACAAGGTATTGCGGTTATTTGTTGTAAAATAAGTTTTTAATGAAACTTGCATATATATATATATATATATATATATATATATATATATATATATATATATATATATTTTATTATTATCATTATTAATAGAAATCTTATAAGTATAAGAAACTATACTCGCTCGGAAAACCTTCGGTATATTGATTTGCAAATAGACAAACCAATATCAAAGGGAAAAAAAAGGTATAAAAAAAGAAAGAACCAAGAACATATACGTTAACCGAGAATAATCGTCCAGCATACGAGTTCAAGGCCCAAAGAAAAAAAAAACCTATGCGAGTAGCCAAAACAACTAAATAAAGTCCTGAATACAATGAGTAGATTAGCCTTCCCTGACGATACGCTCAGGTGAAACCTTGGTAGGTTTGTCTGGCTCTCTAGGTTTGACTATATATATATATATTTGAAAACTACTTTAAAAGATAAAATTACTGATGAATAACGTGTTGAAGGCCATCAGGGTCTTGTAAGTAATGTACTCCATATTAAAAATGAAATGAAAAAAAAAAACTGAAGCTGTGAATAGATAAATAAATTTCTATTAAATTTATTCACATCTAGTTCAAACTCCTCCGCGGTCTTTCGAACAGGAGTAGAGGTTTTTTCCCATGAGTCCTATTTAGGATTGGGTTTCCGGTTCCTTCTAAAGTCTATTTCAACACAATATTTCTAATGTCTGACATTTTATTTATTATTTAGCTTCTATATAATTTTTTCTCCATAGCAGTAGATGTATTTAACTAACGTCCAGTTCACACTTTTTCCCAGGTTTTTGAAAAGGCGTACATGTTTATCCCTTACTTCCTGTTTAAGATACGGTTTTCCGGTTTCTTCATAAGTAAACTCATCCTCTTTCACTCCCAGCAGACCCCCTGCGTCTTACTGAATTGGTTATTTTTTAACAATATTCTACATAAGACGTGAAATTATTCGATTATGAGTATTGGAAAATTTTCCCGTTATAGAAAGAATTCTTTATTAAAATCATATTTAACTAAATATAATTTTTCTCTCGTGAGAAAATATTCTGGGTGAAAATAATGTGCTTTCCTTAAAAAGGAGAAAATAGAACCTTGCTTGCTGTAATGTTATTTGTGATTGATAAAGCACACTGGATTACACACACAAACACACGCACATACATACATACATACATACATATAGTGTGTACCAAAAATACTTTTACAAACTTTGGGGGTTAAAGCACTTTCTATACATTAAAGAAGCATTTTTAAATCAAATTTATGGTCAGACTTATTATGGTGAGCAACACATGCATTGGGTTTGTTGTTTTATAAAAGATCCCTTTTCTGTTCATATAATCTTTTATTTAAATTAGGGGTTGCTGAGTGTTAAAGAATATGGGAAAAAATTATTAAGGAGAATGAATAATAAAACAACAAGAATTAAGATGATAGAAGATAACGATTGAAATTGCATTTAAATTTTTGAAGTCGGAGTTGAATGTGAAGCAATTATCTGGAAGCGAGTTCCACATATGAGAAGTGCGACTAAAGAAATTGTTAGCATAGATTGTACTGTTCAACAGTAAAATGATGAGACCTGCGCTTATATTCATAAAATCTGGGTTCCATACAGGAAAGTTCATCAAAACAATTACCATGAAAGTATTTATAGAAATGACAGAGGAAAGCTATATGGGAAAGTGGGAAAGTGACTGAAGCTAAGATGCCAGGCCAGAACCAATAACATTGCTGATTCTTCTTTGGATTTTATCAAGGATCTCTAAGTATATAGCAGGTGCACCAAACCAGAAGTGGCAACAATATTCAAAGCAAGGACAAATAGTAGACTTACAAATATGTAATATATATTCTGTGGAGAAAAACTGTCAAGCAAGACACAGGGGTGGACGTCTGTAGCAGCAGACTTAGTAAGTGATTCAATATAATCTTTCCACGTCACGTAAGCGGAAAATGTTAGTCCGAGAAGGCGCAATGAGTCGCTAACAGGTTAGCATTTGCCATGTTGATGGAATGTAACAGGGATTCTCTCAAGAGATTAAAAGAGTAGTTTTACGTTGGAGGCGTTAAAAATAACAAGACATTCCTTGCTCCAGTTAACAGCAGAATGTAGATCATTTTTTTAAAATCAACTGCCAATTTGACCTTATCGTATCGATCAGATAGGTATAAATGGTTGTTTCATCAGCATAGATAAGGAGTTGAGAACGGATGCCCTCAGGAAAATCGTTGATGAAAAATAAGAAAAATATAGGTCCTAGGAGAATGCCTGCATAAATGCAAATAGATCTAGAAGATTGGCCATTCAAGATAACTTTCATTTTACGATTCAATAAGAAAGACTGATTCAGTTCAAAAATTCATCCAGAAATAGCATAATCTTTCAACTTGTGAAGAAAACCAAAGCAACAACCTGAGCTTCACCATTCTTATCTACAGCTTGATGGACACTTTCAGCAATAACCATTAACACATCAGCAGTTGCCCTAGAGAAGGAAAACGATATTGCTTGTCTGAAAGAAGATCCTGCGAGATAAGATGCTGAACCAATTCAGAGTTAATTAGAACCGCTAGTATTTTGCCAGGAAGAGATAGAAGGCTCACAGGTCGAAAGAAAGGTCAGATGGTTCGTCTGGGTTTTTAGAAACGGGAACTACAGATGAGATTTTTCATTAAGTAGGAAAGTAAGAAGCATCAAGGAAGTTATTGTACAGTGTAGACAGAACAGGAGCCAGTAGAGGAGGGCATTACTTAACGACTATTGCAGGGATACCATCAAGTGCACATGGGATCTAGTTTAGATATGATAGCAGAACCCATCACTCAATTGATACTCATTTCTAAGTGGAAAGTCAGGCAAATATACTCCAGATGAGTTAAGTGTGAAATGTGAAGAGAATTTTCGAGCAAAACATTCTGATTTATTACCAGAATATAACACCCCAAATTGAGTTAAGAGAAAAGAGATGGGATTTTTTTTCTTATTTAAGACAATATTACAGTACCGTTTGTAATCATATGAGCCAGACTGGTTAGAAATTATTAGGTTCCTCATTCTATCCGTAAACAAAGACTTAGCATCTTTGAGAAAACGTTTACAATTGTTAGGAATAGACACACATAGGCTACTGTTGTGATGACGCCAGAACATCTGTGGGCTGTAACGGCAAAAAGAGCGGGTGTAAATTTACACCCGCTCTTTTATGGATTCTAAGTTAAGCAACCAAAGTAGGACCAATGTTGAATTGTAGAAACCTGTTTGTAGAATTAATTTATCATCTCTTCTATTAGGGTGTTCGGAAAGCAATTACGTATTTAACCACTATGGATTCTAAGGTGAAGCAACCAAATTCTAAGTAGGACCAATGTTGAATTGTAGAAAACTGTTTGTAGAATTAATTTATCATCTCTTCTATTAGGGTGTTCGGAAAGCAATTACGTATTTAACCACTATGGATTCTAAGTTAAGAAACCAAAGTAGGACCAATGTTGAATTGTAAAAAAACTGTTTGTAGAATTAATTTATCATCTCTTCTATTTGTCGGTGTTCGAAAGCAATTACGTATTTAACCACTATGGATTCTAAGTGAAGCAAACAAAAGTAGGACCAATGTTGAATTGTAGAAAACTGTTTGTAGAATTAATTTATCATCTCTTCTATTAGGTGTTCGGAAAAGCAATTACGTATTTAACCACTATGGATTCTAAGTTAAGCAACCAAAGTAGGACCAATGTTGAATTGTAGAAAACAGTTTGTAGAATTAATTTATCATCTCTTCTATTAGGGTGTTCGGAAAGCAATTACGTATTTAACCACTATGGATTCTAAGTTAAGCAACCAA